CGGCAGGGCTGCCTAGTCCCTAGATATCTTATATTAACCGCCCTAGAGATTGTTCAAGGACCCCCAAGAGAAGAAAAACACAGAATCTTGCTTTTACCGATTTTTACAATGCTTAACACAAAAAAAATTGAACATTTTAAATATTGTGCCTCGTAAATAAAAAGGCACTTGTTCACTTTTCAGCCCAGACCACCTCTTTAGAAAGTGTTTTACCACAAAACAACGAGAGAACAAGTCTGTTCTAAATTATTCTAACTTTCCCTGTACTACTGAAGGAAAGTAAAGGCTGCACTAATTTGAGCCTTTGCTGACCACAGAGACCACAGGTCGCCTGAAAAGCAAGTTATTATCCAGATTTGGAACGGACTGTCCTTGGTCAAACTAATTAGGACAATGAAAGGGTTTCCTCACCAATGGTGACCGGCTTTGTCATTTTGATGAAAGGGTACCTCAGACAGAGCACGTCACTGTCTAATTTCTAACAGTTTTCCGATTGTCCCATTCTCATCCCAGAACATGTCCCTGGACACCTAATGTGAGTTAACCACAAGTGCCCTTCACTTTATACAAAGTAGTCTCTTTTGCAGAATCTCTGCCAATGGGCCTCAGTCCATTAAAAATGGACGATAAATGGCTACGTACGTGTTCGAGGTTTCGATCATCATTAGTGGCTCGTGCTGCAGCGGCCAAAGGCAAATCACTTTTCCCTGTCACGAAAATACAGACATTTCCAGGACAGATGAGAGCGTGTTTAAATCTAAGCATCTTTCCTCTCCTCAGATCAGGATCACGGGGATGGATTACCAACACAGGAGCTATTTACTGCACCTTTGGCTGAAAGGTCTCCTGGGAACCGTGAACAAATGTCTGAGAAGAGGCTTGTGTATTGGTTGCTCCACAGCGCTCAGTAGGTAATTCACTCTTTATACAACTGTAGCAGCTGCTGAGCTGGATCAACGAATGTCCTCTAACATGGTGGCCAGTTACAGAGACAGTCTCCTGTTGCTAGAGGAGGAAATATAAACTGCTACCTCGCCGAGACTGTCAATCATTGATGAGGTGCAACCACTGGATTAGATCTTCGGGTATGATCAAATATGTATTACGGCAGACAGAGGACATCTTTGATTCATCTGTTGTCGTAACCAAGACGCGTGGAAGTGGATGCCAGACGTTGCAGTGTGGCTGGGGTTGTTTTACCTCTGATTTTTAAATGAAAGGAGAGAGGACTTTGCAGATTGCACGCGCTTTGGAGAGTTATCATATCACAACATTGAAGCAAGAGCTTGAACGTAAATGAAGCAGAATAAAGTCTCCTGAATGAAAGCATCTCATGTTAAATCATTTGGTGTTACAGCTGTCAAAGCTCTGAAGCCACTTTCCAACTATCCATTAAAGTTTCATTTGCTAAACGCATGCTAACGCATGGCATGCTTTGCATATTGAAAGGGTCCATCTTCAGAAGAAGCCAAGCAACCATTTCCTAAACGGCATTCAATATTTTGACAAGTTAAATGATCAAGGATTTGACAATAAATTAAATCCTTTCACAAAGGGCTTTGTCTCATTTTGTATGTGGCGTCTCTCCTTCTAGAGTTAATGTTGCTGTCACAAAAGCACTACAGGACACCGCGCCACTCGTCTTCATGTAGACGCCAAGACTCAATCAAAAGTGCCGCAACGAAGACATGAGCGTTATCATTAGGAGATCGTAACGTGACATGGAATGAAGAGTTGTTGCGGGTAGAATATAGATACAGTACATTTAAATAGACTGAAGAGTTGAGCAGCAGCCGCATTGACCGGAGGCAAAACACGACTTCTTTTCCTCCTTCTCTTCTCTCTCTGAACAAGTCTTCCAAAACCTCTTAGTCATGGCTCACAGAACCAGGTCGATTAAACTCCACTCCAGTGCCCGTTGTAATTATACACACAATACCTCAGTTTGTGTTTATTAGTTCTGTGGAGTTTTCAAAACCATACATTATGCCGAATCGAAACTGGTTGCAGAGTCTGAGGGTTTGGATGGCGGCCATTTTGTTTTGGTCAGCGGTCCGTGATGTTGTCTGTTGTGCGCCCGCTTCTTCTCTGCTAAACACGGGTACACGCAATCGGTTTGCATTTTATTGTGTGTTACTTTTTTCTTTTTTTTACTACAGTCCTGTAGGCCTTTTGAGTCAACGTTGACAACAGATATGAGTGACATGTATCCTTCCCCAATGGGAGTTTTGCGAGGACAGTTTCTGACCAATCAGAGGGCAGCAGGTCACAACCATCACTGCCACTCTGCCGCTCTATAAAGGAGAAATAGTGCCATCGAGCCACTTTAAAATGATAAAGTCAAAGCACCAACCACATCCATGTCGGTTAGAGACCCTCCACACACACACACACACACACACACACACACATGAAACCAGCATACAGATGATCTTCCACTTCCCAAACAGATGTTTCCAGGCTTAACAGTCTTTGAGCAAATTATCCTTTTAACACACACACACTCTCACACACACACACACACATATATATACAACAGTGTGGGTTGAACAGTAACTGGGTACAGTTGAACTAAACAGAGGCGTGTGTGCTTTAAATGAGCCTTGACCTAACACCTCAAATTTACATGACTGACCTCATCTGGCGTGCGAGCCAAAACCACATTTCATCAAACAATTTGGGGTAAACTACCAAGTCCCAATTATTGAAATGAGAAAAGAGGTGAAGTTGACTTAAAGTTCAGCGGGCTGAGACACTTCTTTTAGTCAATCATTATTAAATGACACGTTAAACGAAACCCCCCCCCCCCCCAGAAAAGATTCTTGGAACCGACAATATTCATTTTGTGTTGGCAGTGGATGCGTCTGAGTGTTGCAGTTAGATGCAATTACGTTACAAGCGGCCAGGCAAGTTGACAAGTTTGCCTGCGATGGAAGCTTAACTGAGATTATTATTTTTTGAATATGCGAACAAGTTTTCAGGGAAATGATTCGCTTCGTGTGCGACGCTCATGTTTGCATCCCGGTAAAGCCAATCTGCAATATTCCCCTCAGCCGCCTTCGGAGGAGAAACCGATGACAGGAAGATAAGCGGCAGCAGGAGCGGCTGCAAAGAGAAATACCGCCTCATCGCTTCAGCTAGTGGGCCTATTCCTATTGTGTCACTATGTTAACACCAGGACAAAGCACTATATTGCAACGACTAAGGCTTTAGCAAAGATAGATGAGAAAACACTGCACACAATAGGAGACGTATCTATCTATTTACTGTAAGCTAGTAGTTTTTGCTTTTAATATCCAGGCATGTTAATGGGGGGGAAAAGAAAGAAAATTCCCTCGGTCGATTGTGTCTGACCGATAGTTTCAATCAAGAGTTGGAGCTCATCCTCATGCTGGGAACGAGCCCCTCGGCCGCCCTGCTGACGTGGCTCCTGTCATTCATGTCTCTAGTCACACCCACGTGTCCCTGACCGCGCGTGTGTGTGTGCGTGTGTGCGTGTGCCAACAAGGCCAGTAGTTCAAACAGTATGCGTCAACAAACATTCCAGTCAAATTGAACAAGTCAACCGTGTTCTTTCATCACTTCACCTCCCTCAGCCTCACCCTTAACTTCCCCTTCAGCCTCTCGCAGGCACAGAAGCACACGTGTGATGAAAAAACACCAATTGCTCGTTATAAAATGATGACACCGCTTTGTCTGATAGTCTTGTCTATGTAAAGAAGGGACGATGACAGGTCACAAGGTCACCCTGTGCATTATATATGGGAAGAGCACAAGGGAACGGAGGAGGCGTTTCCTGTAAGAACAGCACTCAGATCTTTTTGTTCATATTGAGTATAAATCTTTTCTGAGCAAACTTGAGTTGCACCTCGACATCCTGGGTGATGTCAATTTGTGGAACTGCTCATTTCTTTTAGTTAGATTAAGCATTAAACAAGCTTTATCCCTCCAGCCAGCAACCATTTTTGTTAAACTCAGCTTTTCTTTATTTTCTTTATGGCTCTGTCTGTATTTCCTTAACCGTCACACTTTTAAACCTGACTACTACGAGACACCGAGCGCGGCCGTGATGCCTGGAAGCCTTTAGTGACAACGTTCGGTTACAGTACGTAAATCTTTCCTCCGAACAGTAAATCGTCGGCCGGAGGCCGGAGGCCCATCGGGCTGCTGCAGTGATTGATCCACACCGTACGTCAGGGCCAACACGCTACTGGGTGAACTCACTGACCCGAACGTGCAAAACGACAATTCCATCTCCGAACGAGGAGGCTTATCCAAACAGTGCAGTGGAAGTGGAATGAAATTGAAAGCCTCCCAGGGTAAGATAATTACTATGTTTCTTGCGGAAGGCACAACATTTACCAAAAATCACGTTTGGGGCCACTTAGAGGTACTTTGCCTTGGCGTGTAATTCAAGTGCAAAAAAAAAAACCTTGGAAAATCAGCAAATAGTAAAATAACTTATTTTCGAGGTGCCCTTCAAGGGCTCCACCACTTCACCGCCACCGTCGTGACCTCAAAGTAACCAGAGAGTACATTCAGAAGTCACTTAGCGTGATCAATGCAGGACTGTGCTGCTTTAAGAAAGGGAGTGATGCACTATAAGAGCAAAGCAAATGGCAACATATCATACCTGCTTCTTGCTTTAATGTCTTTGGTTCATCCGTAAATGTCTTCCATTCAAATATCACCTAATTAGATGAGCGAGTGATGACTCCTAGGTCAGTGACATTGAATTTCTCGTTGCACACTCGTCGTCTTTTTAACTTTGTTTAGCGACAACTGCGTGCGTTTGCTGCCATCTAGTGGACTTCTACAATCACGACAACACTGGAAACCAATTCTCCCCAATGATTGCGATATGTATGAAATGTAACTGTGAACACCTTCCTGCTTGCCAGTACTCTCTATGCTTGTACTCTTTCAACGGACCAGAGTGAAATACATAGTTTTTAACTCTTTCTAAAATATTTTAAAAGACGCTTTAAGACAAAAAAAAATACATTTTTCAATTTTATTTTCCATTGTACAGTAATCATCTATCTACAGAAATTCTAAATTTGTGTGGCAGCAGATAAAGTCATTAACATCCATGTGAAAGTTGCATAAAACTGTACAAGAAAATTGGCTACAATGAGAAAAATACTGCAACCCACTGATAACTGTTCAATCCGGGACAGAAGATGGCATATGGCAGATAGACAGGACTCCCTCTCGTTGCGTGTTTGGATTGTATTGGGTTAGAATACTGCATACTGTAGTGTATGGAAAAGAAACAAATCACTCAAAGATGTAAAAAAATATATATAACATTGACAAAAAGGGGGAAAAAAAACACACAAATAACAGTTGGGAAGGAGGGAAAGACGTTGAACAGGTGTTCGGGGATGACCTCTAGCTAAAACTAGTTATTTTTCCTGAAGTTGTTTCCCCCTCCCCCCCCACCCCCCCTCTTCCTCACCTCGGGGGTAAAAGACAGAGCTACCTACCGACATCCACACTGACAATGCTCACTAGACACGAAGAAGGCCATAATTGCCAAGAGTCGGTGGACGACTCACTGGAGGAAGAGAGAAAGGCAAAGACTGAAGTGGATGAGAGTCCCAGCACGTGTGGAGAGACCGAACATGCGGAAGATAAATTAAAGGAGAATTTAGAGGTCATCCTCTTATGCTCAGTATCCTGTCGTTATCTTATCATCTTCAACGGTGGCTTTAGTCAGCGTGACGGACACTCCACTGGACACAGACTCGGCTGGTGAGACCAGGACATCAACATTGAATGTTGAACAGATTTATATCACTGAACACACACACACACACACACACACACATTCCCAAACACGCAGGTGACTACTTTACATGTTGTGTCTCATCTTCAGCGGGATGGATCAGGGTTTTTGTTTTATGGAAACAGCCTTAACAGTTAGGCCTCTTCAAACGCCAAACATCAGTCCAGATGTCTGAGTCTAACTAGCTCCGCTTGTTGAACCCGGGAGATGACAACATTCCTAAACGGACCTGATTCTGGGCCTGCGCTCCACGGCCGATGGAATACTTGTATCACACGCACGTTACCGTAACACTGCCTGGTGGGGTGACGAGCCGGATGATGGACAATGCAATGAGAAAACTAAAGCAACTCTTTGGCGTCAGAAAAATATGGCCTCTCTCCTCTTCTGTTGCCTAGGCAACCTCAACATTTACTTTCCAGTTGGTCTTAGATTGTCAAACTATTTACTTATATACAAATAAAGGTTAAAAGCCCGGTAGACAGAGAGATTTGCGCTTTACTGCAAACACGGAAACAGAAACGAGATAATAATTAAGGTGAACGTTTCTGACACCGAACGCAACTGTCTCCTTCACCTCAATAAATAAATATCAACAAAGAACTAACAACTTTCACAACTGTCAGCAAAACCTGAAACATGTTTTGTAGTGATGCCTTTAAAGGATGACACATTTCTATTATCCTGCATATATGCATACACCTACATAGGGGATACTAATGTACAGGAAATCGCCAATATTCATCAAGAATTTGGAAAGTCCACCAAAGCTGGTTAGGCTACCAGCGTGTTTAATCTGACCTCATCAGCCTTTTTACACACACACTCACAGACTAAGCCAAACCCGTGGAAGCGTACGACTTTAGAGGGTGATGGAGGCAGTTCACATCAGGTCAGCGGATGAAGTTCTCAGGTGAACAGTGATTGCGTTTGGTTAGTACGCAGCCAAGAAAGGTGATGTCGGTGAGTAAATGATATATGCCTTTTATATCCTTGCCCTCCTTTTTTTTAGATTCCAGCCCTTTTCATAAAGAGAAATTAGTTGAGTTGTTAAGATATAAGCCACGAAACATTTTTTTTTTCCACGAGTCAAATGTCATCCACTTTCACGACAATATAAAAATAAGAGATTTTCCAATAATACAGACAGAGCAAAAAACCCAACGAATAACAAATAGAGGAATGGCGAGATAATAGAAATTAACACACGCACGCACACACACACACACACACACACACACACACACACACACACACACACACACACACACTGTCGGTAACGATATGAACGTCTGTAAGATACAGAGGAGAGTCTAGAGGTTGAGCGAGATGACGGAATATCCAATGTACATCAAAATAGGTTGCTTTTATCCCCCTGACTCTCTGCATAGAGGAGGCGTCACTGTCACAGCACTTCCTGCGGCTCTCCAAGGCCTTCGCACCCTGCTCCTGTACTCCTCGATGCGTTATTCCTTTCCTTTGTACACTCTGAAGTGGATACAGCGTTGCACACTTATAAGATTTATGTATATATAATGACGTATTTAGATTCTTTTTCCTTCTTTTTACATTTTTTGAAAGTCCGTTTCTTCGTTAAGTGTCTTTTTTTTTTTTTTTTTTCAGCTATGTTCTCCGCTTTGAATACTGGCCCCGATGGGCTTGGAGAGGAGACGACGACAAAAGGACATTTTGGCGCGTGAGAATGACGAATCTCAAGGTGCGTGGGCCGATCGACTACCTCGGAGGAGAAGCTGAACACAGATAAACAAAGAAACGGTAACATAATAAAAGACACCATTTGTTTGCTCCCTCTGAGGTTAGTCCTTCTCCCACTGTCTACCCCCTCAGTTCCACCCTACGACTGAGGTAAGAACCGGATCCAACATTGTGCTAGGGAAGAAAATCCCAAGTGTCCCAGTGAAGAAGGCTTGGAGGGATTTGAATCAACGGACAGACGGATGTGGAGGGGGAGGGGGGGGAGGGGGGGGAGGGGGGGGGGGGGGGGGGGTAACTGTGAGTCCGAACGAGCCGATGGAAGGTGACAGTTGTGTCCATGGAGCTCTGCTCCTCCGCCGCCACTGATCAGAACTGGTACCACTTTTTGTCTTTGCACTTCAGCATCATCTGGAAACAAAGGAGAGATGTTTGCAGTGAGCACACGGTTCAAACGAGACAAATACTTGTGATTTTCACAATCCATGAGCTTCATGAGAGTCAACATCCAGCGGACGTATGCTGCCCTCTAGTGGACGGATGGTGACCAAGATTCATGAAAAGAAGGAAGCTCACTCTGACATTTCTGCTTTGATAAACCATCTTTGCGCTTCTTCTCTTAATAAGTCCATAACTCTCTGCAACTATTGCAACCGGGCTCTGATGGTCCAATTAGAAATCAAACTGAAACAGAACATATATATTGTTTTATGACTGATCTTCTACCCTTACATACACGTTTCTGAACATTTCAGCGATTTTTCATTCCGCCGCACTCAAATCCTGGGACCCTTTTCTGTGTACCTCGTGGGCGTGTTTGGAGAAGGAGTCGGCGCTGGCCATCATGGCGGCCGTCCTCTCATCCAGCTCGCCCAGTTTCTGGCCTCTTTCATCCAGCGCTATCCGGGCGCGCGCCAGATCTCCAACGATGCCGGACGCTGCCCCTTTCATGCCCTCTAAGCCGCCCGGGCCCGGGATGTGCTGGGCCAGACTCCGGGACGCCTTTCCGGAGGATGTCTCACCAACTGAGTTAAGAAATGAATGGAAATGAACAGCGATGGACGTGTGGTCCAATTATCAAAGGACTGAACGATAGTACATTTCGGCGCGCGTGGGTCTTTGCTTACACAGGTCCTCTCTGTCCAGTGACTGGGATCCTCCCCCAAAGAGGCCTTTGAAGAACCCTCTGTTGGGGGCCTCTGGTGTCTCCACGGGTGTAAAAAGTTCCCCCAGCATCTCCTGTAACATCAACACACACACATCACCCCGTTGCATACGGTTTGGCTGTCGTTCTCCCATTAACCCTTACCGCTATCCTCAGAAGACGGTAAAAGCATGTTGTTTGGTGTCGATACAGAACAAACGGACTCTGCATGCAGACTGCTTGCTGACCTGCAGGTTTTCACAGGTGTCCTGGCTGTACGTGAGCCTCTGGGCCTCGGTGGGCGAGCAGAGGTACATGGCCTGACCAAGGTTGGTGAAGCAGAACGTCCTTGCTATCCGCATGTCCGTCAAAGGCAGGTAGTTCACGTCCATGAGCGGTCTCAGTCCTGGCACACTAGATGGGAGACCCAGAGAGCAGTTATGGGATTTTATATCGGTTATGGTAATACTGCCAATAACTGCACTTTATTTTGTAGCTTTGGTCAGCGTCTGAAACACAATATTACCGGTCGGGGCTGGAAGTAGTTTTTCAACAGGACATTTCAATCTCTTGAAACATTTGTCTCGGTGCATGTTTATGCACCATTTCGAACAGGCAAACACACACACACACACACACACACACACACACACACACACACGCGCAGACAGCTGGGCGTCCTCGCTCTATCAGACACCCATATGGATGCCTGTTCTGTCTCCGTCTCTCTCCTGTAGGGACATGAAGATTAATGAGGATGAGCGTCAGACACGACGCCACCTCCCCCCGGCCTTACACTCACACACACTGCATGGAAATGAACCCGGTGCATCTGTGTGCGTGTGTGCCTGCCTGTACGGGACGCTTCTAGCCTTGTCATGACGGTGCAGACTGTAAGGTTAGATTTAGAGTGGTTATTTTGGTGTTGAAGCATAAGGTTAGTGTCGGAGCCGCAGGAGGACTGAGGACGGGACAGAGGTACGACGATGTGACTGGTTTGCTGGTTGTGGGTCTTTACGAGGACAAAAAGATGGTGTCTGACTTGAGCAAAAGTTTAATTGAGGACGTAACGAGATGAGCCTGCATATCTCAGTTGGTCACCGCATTTATTTCAGCCATTCAAAGACAATCTGTTACCCCCTTAATATTGGTAAACCGCACCTCAAATTCAACAAAATACAGTTGTTTGACACTTGAACAATGAAGAACGTAGAGGAAAACTAGAACGGAGGTGAATTATCACTGAAATCTTCCCTTCTGTACATCACACCAGATCTCCGCTCTTCCACAGTCCATCTGTGTCTTAGGTATGTCCCTTTTAAAAAAATAAAAAAAAACAGAGCCACCAGCATCTTTTTGTCTATTGTGAGCGCAATAAAACAGGAAGTCAGAAGAACTTCAATCCAATCATATGAACGTGATCCATTCAAACCGACTTTGATTGACACATTTGAATCATAACCAGCTATTTTTGACTGGCGCGTTTCTTACCTGAGGGTCATGATGTGGCCGTTGGCGCAGAAACACGCCAGACACGCGCCTTGGCTCATCTGCACCACATCTGCCCGGAGGATGAAGGAGGCCTCTGTGATACTCGCTTTAGAGATGCAGGTCTGGGAGGGGAGCGAAATGACTTTGGCCTGTTTCTCCGAACACACCACGGCGTACTGGCTCTCGTTCAGGTCCTGGGAGGTGGACGGGGACACCGAGACGGGCCGGCGCTTACGGACCTTCTCCCTTTCCTCACCGTCTGCGGTGACGTTGGGCTCAAACCAAGGCTCGTAGGCGGGGGGCACCACGGAGCCTGTGGGATCCAGGAAAGCCATCCGCATGACGCTGCCCTTCAGCCGCACCAGCATGCCTGATGAAGGGGAAGAGAAAGGCTCATGACCGGAATCCAAATGAGTGGCACCGTGGTTTTAAAACGCTTTCGACCTGATTTCACGATAAATAATGTTGTGAATATCACTCAACAGCAAAGCATTACTCCTCTGATATCACAGTTACCCACCTGTTGGTGAAATGATAACTGGCTGCAGCTGCCGTTGCTCCCCAGCAGGGGGCAACGTGATGGCCAGAGCGAGTACCGTGCCCAGCGTGGTGCCCACGTACAGGCAGGGTGTCAAAGTGCTGTCCCCCTTTCGGGCAAAGGCCTCACTAAAGTGGAAGGAGCTGATGGCCTCTCGCGCCTCCTTGTCGATACTGGTGACGCTGGAGGAGCGTGAGCGGCTGAAAGAATTGTCCCGGTGGTCTAATGGGTTGGCACCCCGCGGCGGGCATACAGACAGGAGGACAGTAAGAAGAAAACACAGAGAGGTAAAGCACCCGCAGAGCAGTAAAGTCAACATGGAGGTTGGTACTGCACGTACAAAGTAAAGTGATAAAAAAAAAATTAAAAAAATGTTGTCCTTGCAAATGAAAAACGTTGGACTTTAACGGCATTTGAAAATGTAAAGAAAAATCAAGAAATATTACAGCTCACACTCTTAACGGTGGGTAAAAAATTAAACGCTTGTGTCTAATTGTATCTCTCTGACAGATTGGCTCACACAAGCAGACCTTACCTGAAACCGTATTGACAGTAACTTTATGTAATACATACTTTATCAAATGTATTATACACAAATCCAGTCCAATTATGAGCATTTTCACAGGTCAACCCACATTTGACCCCCAATCAGGGGTCAAGTCTCTAATAGGCACTCTGGTTATATTCACATAGACATTGGAACGTTTAAACAACCATACAGGTAAACGCTCTTCATTTGCACATTTTAATTTGACAATGTCTCATCCAACGTCTCTGGTGCTTTAGAAGAACGTTGGATGACGCCTCTCTTTCTTTTAAAGCGACAGCATTGCTATTTGGGCAAATTGTAAAACACCAATCAGACAGAGAAAAGAAAGACACGACGAACAGAGAAGAGAAATCGGAAGCTGCGAAAGTGAAAGGAAGCATCACGGTGCGATGGGAGTGTGCATAGTTTAGCTTAGCACCACTGACCTCAAACAGAACCCCCGCCAAGTTCAAAAAGGGGGAGTTTCACGATGAATTTAATTCAAACACGTGAATTCAGTTGAATAGATTTCAATTCCGGTCAGATCAGTGCTACCTTTGTGTCATGCAAACTTAAATAAAATCCTCCAGCTTGCCAATTTTGAGGCTAATAACCAGGTTAAACCGGACTAGTACGACGTGTGAGTCCAGCTGAAGTGAGAAAGATATACCGCATTTCAAAAAAAAAAAAAAAAAAAAGGTTGTTTGGAGACAAGTCGAGGCTTACCCAAGTCTGGCTTTAGCTCAGTAGGCAAGCTTAATTTCCGTGACATCTTTGCTGGAAAAAAGAGAACATCCCTCTTTACAAAGACACGTCTACGCTAACACACGATGCCATGCAAAGCTGGACAACTAGCATTGGGCTAGGATTGTGCACAAAGCTAAGACACACAAAAATGATTGAAGGCTGTGAGACAAAGTGCTGGGTGATTGTCCCGCTGACTGCATGAGCCTAAATGCGTTACACAGGAAAAAATACTGCGATAGGACTCAGATACAACCCTGTGTATCACAGAGGCATGCTGTAAAAAAACAAACAAAGAGGGTGGGGGGGGGGGGGGGAGACCTCTGGTTAACACAAAGTCCTGCAAGAGAGGACCGAGACAGTGAGATACATCTAAAGTGCACAGCCATTCAGGACCTTCATGCCACAGGAGCATGCACCAAGAACGGGAAGGCAACGGAAAACAGAAAAGACTGAACAGCAGATGGAAGAAGACAAGTGGAAAAGATGGTTACTGAAGAAGCCTACTGACGGCTACTGCCGGCTACTTTGTTCACCTACGTACTGTGTATACATTTTATTTTATTTCATTGAGAACCAAAGGAGGCAGGTGGCATTTTGTTTCACAAATAGCGCTAAATAGTTAATTACTGGGTGTAATGCTCACGTCATTCCATCTTTAAAGAACGTAGAACTTCTAGAAACAACAATGCGACAGTCTGTCAGTGTGAGCAGAAGTAGGAGAAACTATAAGAGGCCCGGAGACATTGTTGTGTTCATTTACATGTCGTGTTCACTAATGGAGGTTAGTAGGAATGGCAGGCAGGAATGAGTTCTTGTTGAGTTGGACCCACCTCGACAAATGAAGAAATCAAATCAAATCCCTGAAAAGTCTTTGACATCCATATGCTCAAATTGGGTTGTTGCCCTTTATCACATTTCTGTTTTTCACCTTAAATAAATAACGTGCCAGAGGCATAATTTCAATACATTTTCAATAAATGACACTTCAACTATAAACTTTTTTTGGTTCACAAATCTACAGTGAAAACATAGCAGGCTTTTTGAAAAAAAAAAATGTATTAGTTGTGACTAAATGTAAGCCGGGAAGAGCTATGGCAACCACATGAGGTCCTCAAACTCAACCAAAAATAAGGATAAAGGTATTTGCAAGTGCAGCAACACAAAAGGGAAGGCCAGAAAAAATGTGCTGAGGCTTAGAATATTTATGAAAAATGTCCTGTGAAACTTTTCCCAGGGCGTTAACAGGTTTCAGACCGATTAAGAAAGAGGGAAGGATCACACAACCCGGGCCTTTCACAGACAAAACGCATCACATTTGAGCAGCGGATATACGTCATTGTCTACTTCGTCGACGCGCGTTGAAGACACACAAAGACACAGTTGGACGGACGCGTCGCCCTCTGCTCGGCGGTGCCGTCGCACTGCACTGTGGACGCAGACACACACACACACACACACTGCAGACATGGAACCTGCTGTAGGAGGTCAGGACGGATATCACACAGATATCACGGCAAAGGCACATTTATGTTGTGACGCTCGTGCTACGTACATGTAGCATGCAATGTGTGTCGAAGGCTCTGTTGGGTGTGTGTGTGTGTGTGTGTGTGTGCAGGCAGCGGGATTCCTACATGCTTCCAAGTTGACCTCTGCTCTGTGAGCTTTCAGTTCTCAGTTCTCTCGAGTACAGAAGTAAAATATGACCGTCATATCATACATTTGTACGAATCCAGTCAGAACAGACGCTAAAAGCCAGAAGTGAAGCTAAAGCTTTCGGTTCTCTCCTTATTTTAACCCATTTATTCACACTATGGAGACCATGACACGGAGGACAGAGACAGGTGGTGGTGGTGGGAGGGGGGGACAAATCTGGACCTTGTCCCGCCTAAAGAACCTCTAATGAAAATCTTTGGCCAATCTTACCTCCTCTACCACCTCCATTGTAGAATTGCTGTAGATTGCTGTTTGACATCAACACTTTTGGGGGTTCAAGGAGGGGAAGTAAAGTAAAGTAAATGTGCAGTTAGAAACAACCTTTGGCTTATTACGACACACAAGCTGTCGCTGTTGTTCTCTGATGTACTGGTTTGAACACTTTGGTTGTTAGAAGGGGTGTGAAGGGGTGCTGCGTGTAAATCCTCCAAATATTAAATGCATATTCTAACAGCGTGCGTCGTATCACTGTAAGTGGTTTGGCATTGATGCAAATGCTGTTAATGCAAATGAAGAAACTAATCCAAGGACGTATTGTATTAAATGACACTCTTCTGGAATTGGGGAGTCTTATTTCATCATTCTGCAACTTTTTTCCAGGTACACCAAGTGAATATGCATGAATATGCAAGTGAAGTGCATATTCCACTGGTAACAAAACAAAGAAGCTCAACCCTGGACTAAATTACTGGAAATTTTCTTTGCAGAAAAACGCCTTATCACTCTCTCTGTCCCATGAATAATGCAGAGCAGACAGATGTATCAGACGCCAGTTTGGTGGCACCAGACACGAGGGGTCGGGACGGGCATCATACCTGCAGCAGGACTCCAGACTTTGAGATTTGTTTTCTCTTTGAGCTTTTTAAAAAGCTTTTTATTTTCACTGCCAAGTTTCCCCTAATGATATGGATCTGGGCTGTTCTCTCTTCAAGCACCTTCAGCTGAAATACTAATGATGCAGATTAAGAGACGAGACGAGTAAAAGAGCAACAGAACTTCTTGCCGTTGCAAATAGTAATACGGTTTTCTGTGGCTGTGGTGCAGGATATACTAAGTCAAAATGGATTTTTGTTTGTTTCCTGATACAAAAAAAGCTTGACGTGAACATGTTGTGAACAGATCGGGAACAGTGAAAAGGTTAAATGACATCATCTTGTGACTCATATTATACAACTAGCAGCTACTTAATATGTGACAATGTCCAGGGGCTCATCATGTTATTCTCTAATTAAGGTAAATCACTGTTTCTCTACCAAAATGACATGTTTTGGTTGCATTCGATGCACGATTCTTAGTCTTCACACTGAATTAGCGTGATTAAGATTGGACACGTTCAGAACCTATAACCCATTTTTCCAGGATGAAATGAGTTAAGAAAAATATTCCTCTCTATTGCGCTCTGCAAAGTGGTAAAAGATAGAAAATATTCCCATAAGCATACGGTGAAGAACCCAAGAAGAGCATTTCTATTTTACAGTTCAAAAGATTAGAAACTGTTTGATGGACGTCAATTTCAATAAAACAGTATTAAAAGTAGTCTCTTTTGTAAAACGATGTTCCTCTTGCATTCGAATACCTAATAGGTACATCTTCTTGTGTTCAGTGCGCAGTCTAGACAACACAAAGCCTCAGCTATATTTCTCCCACTTGTCCTTAATGAGACGCTGAAGAACATGTTACCTGAAGTAGGGGACTTGCAGCGGTCCTCCGATGTGGCTGAACCCTCGTTAATGTCGCACAGACCTGCAGCAGAGATCAAACATTTCAATTCATGCAATATGAAGCAAGCGGGAAGGAACCAACGGGGGGGGGGCTCATTCTGTGAGAGTACGTCTACCTTTTTAACTTCATAAAACACTGCAGAGAACCTCATTAACTGGGACTGTTTTATGTTTTGGGGAGGATGGACTTCATTAGAACAGATGGATGACTCCCACGTCTCAGGTTTTCTTACTTCAAGCGAGACCTAGTGGGACTTCAGTGTTTTTTCATCCAGGTGAAGGTCTAATTCCTTCCTTTGTGGCGTGCATGTTTGTCTAGGAATGTGTGTGTGTGTGTGTGTGACATTGTCCTTTGAGGCAGAAAGCCAAGCAGACAGCAGCGCCTGTTGGCATGGAAACACAGCTGGACGCCTGATTACTGCTCACACTTGCCAAGCTCTGACAGGTGCCAGCCTACCGCTCACCGGTCGGTGACACCAGATGCTCTGTGTGTATTTACACGTGCACGTGCTGGTGTATACGTGAGCATTTGAGTGAAGACTGTGAATGTGTGTGTATGCATGCATGCATTTATGTGCACAAAAAAAAAATTTAATCCACCAGCATTCAAAGATTCATCCATCAAACTTTTGCTTAGGTATGGGCTTCTGCGTCGTCATGACACTGCGGCATCTACGGCAGCTGCACTGCCCTCATCTACCACAGGGTGGCAGTGTCCTAAAGCGTCTTGACAGCTATCGGGTGGGGGGGGGGAGACCATGAGGCTGCAGTGTGTTAGAGGGATGGACGATGAGAGTGTGTTTGGCTCAATGAGAATGTTGTTGTGTACCAGCTTTTGGAACCGATGGCCCCGGTAAGACGACTCCAGCTCTTTGGGGCTTTTCAAACTGACGGTAACACAAACAGGCCTCTCAGGTGAGCGGTGTGTGTGTGTGTGTGTGTGTGTGTGTGAACAGGAATCTCTTGCACAGTTGCACCCATGTGGATGCTGTCATTGATTCAGTTACTTTAATACTCACGGTGGTCGGGCTACCTACGTTGTTATTTTTGTAGGACCTAAAAAAAACCCGAATAATCTCTCTCTGCGTGTGATCGTGTTCTCGTCCCTTCTCCTCATTACCTCCAGAGGGCTGTCGTGTCTTCCTCGGTGAGCGCGGCTGTCTCTGGTACGGGTCGTTGGAGCCGTACAGCTCGACCGTCCCCAAGTTGAGCACCACCGTCTTCTGGACGTAGTCCACCACCGCCAGACCGTTACTGTTGCCAAACACCACACTGGAGAAGGGGTGACGGGAAGTCAGTGGGGGAAGTGGAAGAAGGAGGAAGGGTGAAAGCCATAAAAAAAAAAAAACGAAGGAGAGCAAAAGGAAAGAGTCGGGTCTCAGCAACGGTGCTTTAAGATTTGCTTTTTTTCTTGAACATTAAAAAGTGGCCTGTGCAGATCCAGGTTTTTTACTTGCAGGGGGTGCGTGTTGGAGTATAAACGGTGGGCGCCGAAGGAAACGGCTTCTAGCCTCGACTGCAACGTTACTTACAGGCCGTAGGAGGAATTCATCGCCAGGCTCGTGATCTGCTGCGGAGGCTCTCCGCTCACCCACACCAACTGGACCACCGAATCCACCTGGAACCCCGCAGACTGCTTCAGAGGGGTGCTGCGCACTCTGCAGAAAACGAAAAATAAAAGCGAAAGAGACATTAAAAAGACGCTTTCATAGAGAGACGGGAGGTGCAGCTGCCGCTCTAAAGCAACAGCGTCTGGCGCGAGTGGGTTGGAGGGGAGGCTGAGGACGCCTCAGGCGCTGACAAGAGGGCTCGAGGCAGAAAACAAGACTTGTGTGTGTGTGTGTGTGTGTGTGAGAGAATGTGTGCATGTGCTCCCAGTGCTCATGGGAGGGAATGAGTATCTGTGTGTGTGTGTGTGTGTGTGCTTCATACTTGAGGCAGGGCATGTTGCCCCCGTCAGAGTTGTTGCTGCTGGTGGAGGGGTGCGAGGGCGGGCCACTCGTCTGAGGGGAGGCGCCGGGGTTGGGAAGCTCCCCCCCCCCACAGCCCCCGTCCGGAGACTCGATGTCGTTGAGCTCGTACTGCATTCGCACCTCCAGCAGCTGTGCGAGACACACGGGAGACGGAAAGGAGACAGAAAGGAGACAGAAAGGAGACAGAAAGGAGACGGAAAGGAGACAGAAAGGAAGGACGGACGTGAAAAAGGGAGCGGCGATCGCAATAACAGGCGCAAGAACTCTGGTAAACAACTATTCTTCGTGAGTTCCTCTGAGTCATTTTGAGCGTGAGTGACAAGCGCACAGCGCGCACACAAAGACTCACTGTCGCTTTGATGATCAGAGATCTGTGTGAGACGTTAGTCTGTGCTTGTAAATGTGCTCGTGTGTGGGCAGAGAGTCAGCGAGGTCCTCCAACACTGAAATATTCCGTTCCTTCCAAGTCCTCCTTCAGGCTACTTCTCTAAAACCTCCGCCTTCACACACACGCACACACACACACACACAATGTTCATAAGCTCCTTTCTCTTTTGCATTCTGTCAGTCTCATTAGCCCCGCTGACACGTGGGAGTGAAGAGGGATCAGCGGCCTTCCAGGGATTCTCACTCCCGCCCGCCTCGGTCCTCCTCCTTCACTCCTGCCGGGTGGTGGAGGTGTTCGACCTTGCGGGGAAGGGAGGCTGTTCTCCTGATTACGGCTCGCTAGTAAATATTTAGTCCTCGTCCGCATCCCGGGAACCGCGCTTGGAGCGTCGGCCCCCCGGAGGTTTCGCCGCCACAGAAACCCTTCGCATTCGCAGGAAGAAAGCTTCCAACGGGAAGGTGCCTGATTTGAATCAGTCTTTTGCTGTTTGCTTGGAAAGGACAAACTAAATTGGACAGTTTTTGTCAAACTGTGCTGACGGCACCTGCCTTAAAAAAAAAAAAATGCATATCTCATTTTCAGACCTGCGAGGAAGAAGAAGAAGAAGAACACATCGCAGCACCTCCCACACACTTTGATTGACAGGCGACCTCTGCGGAGGGCAGCAACACAACAGCAGCGGCTTCACGGCGAAGACGTTGCCAAAAATTTCTTGCTGGTTCTCAATTCAGCGCCCTGCTGTTCCAGCAAAAAGCAGGAACGGGATGCACGCTCCCTCTGGCGTGTAATGTCGCTTTCCTCTTCACATTAGACCACTAAACCCCGACTCCTATGAGCACTAACGTCGCTATCGAGCAAGATTATAATAACAGTCTAGCTCGGCTTTTTCATTGCTCCGTCTGTTGGCATGACAACGCGAGAGTCTGTTGTTTAGAGGCGAACAAAAGGGGGTCCCCACCTGCACCACCTCGGTGGTTACTTCCAGCTTGCTGAAGCGGTAGATGATAACGTTGGCTGAAACTCCGGCCACACACAGCATCCGGCTCTCAGGGCACCAGGCCATGATCTGGATGGCAAAGGGGTCTTCATCCGACACCTCGGCGCTGCCCTTGTCCTCCTTTGAGCGGTTTCTGTCAAACACCTTGGCTGTTTTGAGTTTATAGAGCACCTGGAGCATTACTGGGCGGGGGGGGGGGGTGAAAAAGGTAGAGAGGAGAAAAGCATCAGCTGCGGTCCAAGGACATCACACATTTTCATCCTGACTGTAAAAAAAAGTGTGAAATTAAGGGGCAATGTGCGATCGATTGTTCCTGGATTTAACATGTTTGTTTGACTGTGAAGTTTGGGGCTCAAAGTGTTTGTTAAAACAAATTGTTGTATTAGTTTTTAAAAGGCTTCTCTTACAATACATAATAATAATTTCTCGAAGCATAAACAAGGCGCCGCCCTGGAGAGAACTCACTTGCAGAGGCATCCCAGAACTTTACAGTTCCATCAGCGTGCCTGGGAATTCAAGAGATGAAGGACAGACGATGAATATCAATGTGTGCCTTATTGTCTGGATGTTACATTTCTCCACGTACAGTAGCTTGTAAGATATGCAGCAAAAACACGTATTTAAAATACCAACTGAAGACACAAATACCTCGAGGAAGTAAATAAAAACCAAACTTAAATAAGTCGGTTCCCTCCGATCCACCCACATATGGGTGAGGGATGTAATGCAGCCTGTGGCCCCCTTGGAATAAGAAACAGAAGCCTGTATAGAATAGTAACACAGCAGGTAGGGGAGAGGCGCGATGGAGGAAGGCGAGGAGAGAAAAGCCTCCTACTGCCAAACCTCACTGTCACTCGAGTGTTCTCTGTTAAAAAAAAGAAAAAAAAGCCCCTCGTCCCCCTTGAAGACAGCTCAGAGCGAGACAATAAACATGGGAATAAAGTGCAGTGCGCACGATTGGAATATATAAAGACCTACGGTAAATATTCAAAGACAAGCTCCTTTGCTGTAGAGACCTGACGGCGCAGGACAGGTGAACCAAATGAAGTCGCAGCGCGAGGCCAATGCTAACGCTGATGAAATGGGGGTTTGTCTTACCCAGTGATGATGATCTCTGGGTAGCTCTGTGTGCCTTGACCCCAGGTTCCACCACTAATGGGCCATTCCTGGATCGCACACACAGCACACGGGAGAGGCAACGGATTTGGGTTACAGCAATGTCAATAAACGGGTGCGAATCGATAGCAACACACAATTGAATTTTGGGGGGGGGGGGGGTGTGAAATAAAATAGAGACACAAAAACCGGGCGGTGGGCGGGTTTTTTTATTTTTTTTAATAAAAAATGGCACCACCCAAGGGGGGGGTTTTTTCCCCTTAAAAAAACCCTCCCAAACAGGCGCGGGGGGGGGGGGGGGGGGGGGGGGTTTGAACACGTTGACACACACAAAGGTCATGGGGATGACTCATGGTGATCTTTATGTGAGAATGCCCTCCCGCAGCTCATCCAGGCCTTTGCTTAACAACAACAAAAAAAAGAGCAGCCAGTTTGGGTCAGTACATGCTGACATTTACCACAGAAAGCTAGAACAAGGCGACAGGCAAAAGAACACAGGCGTACATGATGTCTAAAAGAGCAGTGGGGGGGGGGGGGGGCTGTCTTAGGTAATACAGGAATATGAGACGGGAACGAGAGGAGAGAGGAGGTGTAAAAGAGAGAGGTGCTTATAGTGTTTAGTCCGTTTAGCGTCACAGAAACAAACTTTACCGCCACCAATGCAAAAATGAACTCATGCTGTGGAGTTTTCCCATTAAGGAGCGTTATTTATTTGTTCTATTTCAAAGGTAAAACCCATTCCTGTGTTGGAAATGGTGGGAAAAAAAATTATGAAAAGCAGTGGCAATTTTTATAACAATAGAAACGCGCTTTTTTAGAAGTCGACAGGAACACCGGCGGCTGTAGGGCACGACAGTGCTAGATTTTAACATGATTATTCTACCCCACAGTGTGACGATGTGATTGAACTGCTACTATCTCTACTAATAACAAACTAATATCTTTTCCTCTTCCGCAAAAACATCTTTCCTTTTTTCTGTTGCTTTCCTGTGCAATATTGTAAACAATTGCAAGAACTTAACCTTCCATCCCGAGGGTCTGTATCCAACGCCTGATATTTACCACTGCTGCGCTCAAGAGGTTCAAAGAGGTGGCAGATTCAGCTGAGAAGACGCATCACCGATAACCACATGCAGTGTTGCAAAAGAACCCTCCCCTGTGCACAGTAGCACCTTTTTGCTGTAGCCCTGTCGTTTCTGCCGCGAGCCGACAGAGTAAAGTGCAGGTATGAGGTCCGCGGGGCAGTCGGCGACGTACTCGCAGCAGGTCACCGGGGACTCGTGGATAGTCAGAGGATAGGGGTTCTCGAATATGGGGTAACTGTGGGCGAGACAAATGAGCTTTTAATTAAGTGAGTCAGTCTGCCAAGTATCGGTGCATTAATCTCACTCGGCGCTGCATGCATATTAAAGAGCACGATTTATGAAGGTAAGTTATATCACATGGAGGTATATCCTGTATATAATACAGATAATGAGGACTAAGAGGCCAACTTTGATATTTCAGCAGACAATTCTGAAAAAAAAGAGTTGTTTAATACTCACGACTCACCCATTTTGTGCAAGGTCGATCACCACTAAATCCTTTTCTAGAAGGACCACCACAGCGTACGGTTCCTGGAAGTCTACACAGAGAAACAACGAGGGGAGTCATTCGTCACACCGCGCGTTCTGCACTGATGGAATTCCTTAAAGCGAGAACTTCTCTCAAACCAGAGAGATCTGCAAACCACGAGGGAAGATTTTCTTAGACTTTCTGTGGCAAATCGCATTATCATATCGGTGCCCTGAAGATGTGATGGCAGGAAGGCTTGAAATTGATTCAACTATTAGATTTATGTCTGTGGAGGAAATTGCTCTGGTTAAGAAATTCCCATTCAAAAGTAACCCTGCTGTTTAATCCACAGTATATATATATATATATATATAGTTTAAGGCACAAAAAAAGCCAACTGCACCTACCTCTGGCTGTCATTTCAATCCTAAGTAATAAAGGTGACAGAACCTTTTTTAATGCAGATTTAAGAAAATCCATTGTAATTACAGTAATAGTTTCTGAAAGAATGCATGGAAATTCTTTACGCTGATCACAGCTGCACACGTTTGCCTCATGCGGTTGGCTTCTAAACGCCTCAATTGGAGTGACAGAGATTAAATACTACAGGGAACCTTGATAAAAAAAAGCATATGCAGATACTATATTATACTGTAGCTAAACGTCCTCTTTGGATGTTTTATTTGGAGGTACCGTTACACATTATGCAGACACCATTCAGATATGTACTATAACCACGAGTGCAGACATGCACGCCGTCTGACAGACGTGTATCGTGTAATCCAAATGTCCATTATCAAATAAAATCAGGTTGCCATGGAGAAATCACCTTTATCACATAACCCCTCCGCCCCGCCGTTAGCTGTATAACTGCCCGAGTTCCCGTCCTTGTTTGCATACGTCACATTCAGCCCAAATCTGACTTGCTTTAGGAGTTGACTCGACGTTACGGGAAACAAGACACATTAGACGGGAGGCTAAAAAAAAAATCGATATCCACGTTGCGTGTGTCGGATAATGAAAGGGGAATAGGATTTTTACCCCTGGGAAATTTCTTCTTTATTGCAGGAACAAATTAACACAGGGGAAAGCAATTCCACATGTTAAAAAACAGACAAATAGAAAAGCGTGTGCATGTGCGTGCTGCCAATGCCTTGACGAAAGCAGGACCAGATGATGAATTCCCACTCAGATGTAAAGCAGAGACCCCTCCCCCCCGGCAGACACGTGCGTACCGTTGGCGTACGGAGTCTCACAGAGTGTGAGGAAGTCCACTATCGGATAGTCCATCTCCAGCACAGCGGTGCTCTTCCCGTGCATTACCGTCAGACATGGACGCCGTCCTACCGTGTCGTAGGACAAACCACCAGACAGGATTATGAAGGGCTCCCTGCAACACATGCACAATTTATAAACAGTTAACTGGATTTCTGGATATGTGCATTTTAAATGCATATATTTTAGATGGTCTGCTGATGGGCATTAACGTTAGACGTTGTAAATTGTAGTTGTACACTATAGATACGTGTGTTGGTAATGTTACACGTGAAACCACAACTTAATATAATGACAAACTAGCTTTAAAATTCAAAATCTAAACACTGCTTTTCACTGTACTAACTAGACAAAGTATTTGAGCAACACCCCTGATTGCAATTGTCCCAGGACTGAAAAAGGTGACATTTTCTTAATTATAACAAAAATCAAATTATAGATCACAGTATAAATTCCTGTTAGCCATTTGCTGTTAACCCCTGCCAACGTTGATGTGTCTTCTGCCATTACGATGTTCCATATTAAAGCGCATTAATGCCAGCATGTGTGCATGTGCGTGAGAGGGAGGGAGAAACCATACCCATTTCTAGTGGTTTTGTACTCCACTTTGAGAATGGGTTTACAGGGCTCTGGCTTCTTCCCGTCCTTGGGCTGTTTTCCTAAAATAGAACAAACAAAAGTTTTTTTAGTTTATCTCTCCTCACCTCCTCTCGCCTTGTTCCTCCCGTCATCTCATTTTTTTCCCCCTCTTCCTAGAAGCTGTTTTGATTTGCACTTAAATTGCAGCTCTGAAGAGTAGCCGAGAAATAGCAAAGGGGGCGATTCATCAGTATGAATAAACACAAATGCGTCTAAGGTGTGACCATCATGGATGACTTACAGGGTCAGAATGTCAAAGTTATGTCAGAAAGCACGACCAGTGGCTGTTTATATCCACAACTACAAAGCAAAGTCTAAAGAACGCTTCATACAGAGCAGGTATGTTTAATAAAGAACCGCTTTTAATAACTACATCTAAATAACAGATGTTTAAAGACAATTAAAATATGACTCATAAGGATTACTTCAACCTGTAAAATACATTTACATAATGCTCATCAAATACCAAACTAATTATGTGCGGCAGCGGGGGGAAAAAACAACCAATTAAAAAGCCTCTGTAGTGAAATGCTTTCTACAATTCCCTCCACATAACACCAGTTTGAAAAAGTGGTTACAAGTCAATCCCTTTCATTTAGTCCCTGTCTCTGTTGCTCTTTCTGACTCTCTCTCTCTCTCTCTCTCTGTGTCCATTTGTTGCACTCATAACTGGGTCCGGTTCCGCCTTCATCCGAGCAACTTGTCTCTGTGCTCTGTGGGACGAGTAGTTGTGTGTGGATTAAAATGCATCTTCAAAAGAGCAGACTTTGGTCTTTTCTGGGGGAAATAAACAGAGCAGCGGCGGTACTGTGGGCATGTGCAGACGCAAACTAAAGCAAACACAGGCAGGACATAATTGAACGGGCAATAATCCTCTGATTGAAATGGGGGGAGTTTCATGGTGGGAGGATGTTGAGGGAGGTACAGAGTGATTCATGAGGTTCTTAAGGTGCATTGAAGCTCATTTTTAATGGAATCTTAATTTGTTTTAAACACATGGCTCTCTCTGTAGAAAGTTTGACATTCCTGAAGTATTTCTAAATTTCTTCTGGGTTTTTGAGTCAACAGATGAAAAAGGCAAAAAGCATCATTTCTCATTTTTAGTAAGAGATGGATACAACAGATTTCGTAAAAAAAAGATGAGGCACATCCTGTGTGCATTTGTGCTTGTTGCGTGTGTGTGTGTGTGCGTGCGTGTGTCACCGTCCTTACCATGTGGGGTGATTGTCTGTATGGGCTTGCCCTGCCCTCTGATGTTCCATATGGTCAGAGTTCCCGTCCGAGTGACTGCAAATGAACTGCTTGCCCTCGTGATGCCAGGCAACTGAGTGGATCGCCTAGGAAACAACACGCAGGAAGGATCAGACGGGGGGGGCGGAGGGCTGGGGGGGGGGCGTCACGGGGCCACCGTCTACCTTAAGCTGCAAGTGCGTGTTGACTCTTGACTCTGGATTATATACTCTCCAAGCGGATGGAAAAAGTGAGGTAAAAGAGCCCGACGGCACCTGCTGTGGCCTGAATGCATGTATCGGGATATTGTTTTGGAGTGAATGTTGGAAGGGATCGGTCATTTTGTTCAAAGGTAAAAAAGGCACAGAGGGTCATAAAAAAGACGTTTAGTCAGCAATGCGATTTTGAAAAGTAAGCGAGGAAGTGAAAAAGCAATCACATGGGAAGATTGCAAGTAATCATAATTCCAATATTTGCATTATTTATTCAAAAATCTTTCGTTGGGCGGGAGAAATTGAGAAACTGATACAGAGGCGACCTCACAGATAAAGATAGATAGATAAAAATGTGGAAAGGCAGGAAAAAGCATGTTGCCTGTTCTGTCCTCTCATGCTTCTCCGTCATCTAAACAGTTTTGGTTTATTGACCAACAAGCATTCATTGTAAACACAAACGCATCATGCCCAAAGCCTCCCAGTAAAGGGCAACCAGGCTTATTGATCCCCTCCTCATAGCACGCCGTTTAACCCGGCGGTCTGGGTCATGATGTGCATTCTTCCAAGCTGAAAGATCCACTGCATTTAGCAGTGAGATGAACGTTTACTTGTTAATAACTAACGGTACACGGGGGGGGGGGGGGGGGCTCACTAATAGGGGAGGAGTTTTTACAGAAAAACACAGTTACAGTTGATAATAACTCCAGTTGTATCGGTCCCAGATCAGATTGTATCACGTCTTTATTTCTATTGTTCTATTATTCTAAAGTCTATAATCCGCCACAGTCTCGCTCGGGCAGACCTTGAACTCACAAAGTGGAAACCAACGACGAGGAGAACTTCCCCGAGGTGGGCGTTTGGAATCCTAGTTTCCATCAAAGAGACTCCGGGTCACCGTGAGCTCGGGGATGCGGAGTTCTACCTCTGTGACATCGTTCCGCAGAGATGCACCACTCACATTATATCATTACACAGCCAATGACTCATTGCCTCTTACTCCCACAGAGATGCTGAAATGTGGTCGAATGTTCTTTTCGAAAGGCATCCTTTAGTTACGGAGCTTCGTGAGGATTGTTCTATTAGTAAGTAACCGCGGCCGTGAGGATGTGGATGTGAGCGCTGGTCGGCGCCGGGCTGAGTGACAGGGACAGGTGGGACGCAGTTTATCAATGATTTCCCGCCAAAAGGGGTTCACCAACTCGTTTTATATTCTGTAAAATGTTTAGCGTCCCACAATCAGAAAGGAAAAATGATTATCGTTTAATGCATGAGTTGTGAAGATAATTAGACATATAGAGCGTATTTTGGGTCGGGTTCACGGCCTATTCGTTGATAGATCGGGTTACCTGTAGGGGGGGGTGGGTGGGTCTAAGGTGCTTTTTCGTTATGTTGACTGGCACCCAGAAAAATAATTACAACTGCACAGATTCAACAAAATGCCCCAACTGGGTCAAAGTTGCATGAGAAGAATTATGAGCTGTTTTGACGGAATAAATTCCCAACAGGGAACATTGCTCTGTTCTTAATTAGAAAGTGATTAGAGTAATAGGAACACACGGTGCTCATCACATCAAACAATGTCAATTAGAAAGACTCATTGGTGATTTATTACATTAGGTCCCTTTTCACAGACTGGTCCTTGGGGTATGATAGAATTCAGCACAACACTTATTAGAGTCACACACACAAGCTATTCTGTTCCCACACACACACACACACACAAACAATAATTTACGGCAAAGAGGAAAACAACACGCACAAATTGAGATTGGTGAAGGAAAATGGACGTAGACATAAACATGCATGTCACAGTCTGATTAGAATAGCCCTGTGCCAAACACACAAACACACACACACACACACACACAGCGATGGTTAATTCAGCTGACGCAGGAGAATCTTTAACCAAAATGGATTCATATAAAAAAAAAACGGTAGCTACCTTAAGGCAATTCCTTATTGTTTTGAAAAAAAAATGATTCAACAAATATTTGCTGGAGCGGCTTAAGGGATTCCTCTTCTTTTCTTTAACAAGGAATTAACATGAGCATAATTGACAGTAAGACCCTAACAGAGACTAAGCATCATATACAGAATGATATTTTCCTTCTCATGGACATTGAGCTAAATCTGCCAATCAGCAAAGACCAGTCCGGTTATCTGTCTGTATCCTGCACAGGTGCAAAGGGGGATAAAACCAGTCTTGAGTATGTAAATAACTTGGAGCATCTGCTCTTAAATGGAGTCATTTGAGCTGTCCATCAAAAAGAATTACGCTGTTCAGACATGTTGCACGTTGCATTAGTACACAAACTTTTTCTCATTATGTTAGTCCCACTAGAGGAAACCAAACACTTCTGCAAGATCGATTCTGGGCTTGTTGGCAAAAACTGCAATAGTTCCGTTTTAATAATTTGACAGAGAGAAAAAAGGATAGAGAGAAAAGAGAAATACATTTGACTTTACAGAAAAAAATGTAGAAATAAAGTGATGTTCGATGGCAAAGGGTTTGTTTGAAAATGTAAAAAAAAAAAGAACCCATGCACCCCTTGAGTGACGAACCAGGACATCATAGGAGGAAGGGAACATAAAAACTCCAATCTGGCAACGACATCCTCCATTCATCAGGCACCAGAGCCCGGTGGTGAGTCAGAGTGACGGATGCTCCCTGGCTAACACTCAATGGGAACCCATACTGCTGATCCACAGCGAACAATAGACAGTCTTCTGATAAGACGCAGACTGGACGGCGTGCTCCCTCAGCTCTTTGTGAGCTTGTAGAAACCAAAGTTTTATGGCCTCTGCCTCCGCCTGGAAACTTAAGTTGCTGTCTGAGGGGGGGGGGGGCCGTGGTTTGAGCTTCGGGCCTGCTGACATTTCTGCAGTATGACAGCATGCATTACTAACAAAAGCTGCCGTCATTTGAGTCAAAAACCATTTTATTATTTCCCCGATGTGTGCACCCTGCATGCTGACGTTGTGCGAGTGCATGAGGTAGAAAAAATGTGACCAAGAAATACGGAGTCGACATTACTCACAAAACCCTGTATCTACTCCGAAGCATGAGAACGTAGACTGCCTGTCTCTTGTTTAGAAACGCACACATTTACAAAGACACAATCCTTCTCTGATAGACGGCAGGTTTACTCTGTCGCTGAAAAGTCGACAACTTTGATACTCGGCAGCGAGCTTCTGGGCAAATAGTGTTTGAATGAAAGCCCCAATGCGGGAAAAGGAGAGCACAGCAGGAAGGATTTAATAGATGTACAGAATATATTTGTCGTTAAGTAATTTCCACACAATAATTCCACTTGTACCAACGGCTTATAACTAATGTTGGATATAGGTTAATTGGCTGGAATGGAGCAAATTAGACACGTGTTTCCATAGCAACCGTCTTGACGTTGGACATTCATTTCAGTCTTCAGTGACTCCGTAATCACGCCAAATCTAAACAACAAGGCCCATCGCATACGCTGAATGCACTCATGAAACCTCTTAACCTTTCTAAATGAACGCCGTAACTGCACAAGCTGCACCTTCCGCTCGGATGTTCTCCGCTCTCGCCACCGCGCCGCGTTCGAGGCGTCCTCAGCCGATCAACAGCGCTCCGGTGAGGTGGGCTTCTCTTGCTCGGATGGAGACACGTATGTGCGAAGAGCTGCAGGTTTGTGTGTCTGTGTGACCAACGGTAAGCGTGCGCCACGCATACAGGCCGGGTGGGAGGAAGCTGCCTTCACACAAAATACGGCAATGTGGCACCTTCCTGCAGTGGTCTGCATAGGTCAGGAAATAACCAGGAATTTTTGTATAATAATAATAATATATATTATCTGCTGCTCTCTCTCTCTCTCTCTCTGTCTCTCTGTCTCTCGCCCAGTGAGCAGGCAAGAATCGCTGCGGTCTGTATTTCTCCTTTCTGGGAGCTTTCAATATATCTGACTCTAATAACCACTTGGATGTATTTGCCAGGGGACTAACCCCAGGAAGGTCCAAAGGCCAGGAAAGAATGTTTGAGGATTTCAGGCGCTTTCTGTAGTGTAAAAGTGTAAATCATCATGAGCAGAATTAGGAGGTTTGAGTCCCCCCCCCCCCACCCTCCCGTCCCCCTCAACCCCCCGGTCTCTGGAGAGGTGTCACTGGAGGGGTTTGGAGATAGAAGAGACGAGCCCCTTTAGGGGATTGGATACGAGAGAATGTAACGCCCTCTGAGCAGCAGGAGGATATTAGCTTATCTGAGAGAAGGGGACAGGGGGGGAGGGACCGAGGGAGGGAGGGAGGGAGAGAGAGAACGGCACGGACTGAACATGCAATATCCAATCTGGGATTTGTGTCCATGTCTTGACACCTCACAACACCCCAAGCGCTGACAATGAGATGAGCACCAGCATGCGCGTTGCAATAATCTGATTATCACTCAGTCTGGCTCTGCGTCTAAGAGCCTAAAAAGGGCTATTTAGGATACGAGGAACAGTCGTACTGCTATTGGTTGTAATTGTTTCCAAAGCAAGTCGGCAAGGGGAATATTCTATAAAACCATCACAAACAACCCGGGCCGTCATACAGTTCATCACGTCTGTTACAGAACACAGCAACTATGTAAGTAGCGATAAGGACCCGATAGCCGACATGGTCTTTGGTTTGACACATGCCAGGACAGAGAGATCTGAGCGGCTCTGACACCGTGTCTCCTTTTTCATTGTCATGTCATCTTTTATTTATAGACGCACACTGTTGCCCCCGGGGAAGCCAATGAAGCTACATGACTCAGTGCTTTGAAAAAGGTGGGTTTTATGCAGCTGCAATATGCGAGCGCAAATCACTGTGCAGCCCTGCGACATCACTCCGGAGAGCATGCATAAATCATGAGATGCTTGAATCATGCATTTCACACACTGTTGTTCTTGTAAATACGGCAGTGTTTTTCTTTAGTTCGGACTGCAGCCCTGGCAAAAGAGTTTTGATTTTGTGCAGTGATATTTTCATAGATACTTTCTCGTGAAACCAACTGAAGTACTAAAGCAACTAAATCCCTCTGCAAGCACTTTTTTGTAAGTATTTACAGTATTAAGTATTTTAATCGTCCTAGTAGCTCGATAGCACGAATTCCGTTGGTGGCTCCAGTTGGGAGTTAAACCTAAACTCTTTTCTGGCAAACCGAAATGTTGCTTTATATTCACTGAAATGCACAAAAGTGTGAGGAATCACTGAAAGGAAATAGTGGAGATTTGCCTACCTCATCGTAAGTGTAGCGATAGTCAGCCTTCTTTGATTTCAGATCCCATAGGACCACGATCCCGGACTCAAATCCAATTATGAGCTGGAGAGGAAGAGCGACGGGGAGTCGGTGAGAGAGGCAGGAGAGATGACAGAGAAGAGATGGAATGAACCACATGATGGGCGGAAAAAGAAGTAATACATTTGATGTTATCGCGCAGCATGAAAGGAAGTCGGATGTAAGCAGACCGGGGGGGTCGAGGGGGGGTTGGGGGGGGGCTGAGGGAGAAACTTTCCCAGCATGGGTCACAGGAGACGCTGTTAAAAGATTTTATTAGGAACATAACGGTGTGCGTTTTTTTTTAGAAAAAAACGCACACCGAGGACTCCGCACAGAGGAGTTCTTTCTAAAATTTCAAATGTGTGAATAAAACGGATCAGCACCACAGAGCGGACCTGTTTCAGCGTGTGTGCTGGGGAGACGAGGCCGTAGTAAAGCCCCGTTTTTGTATTGTGTGAACGCAGCGTGTTTAAGTTGAACATATATACATATATGAGATGGTTTGGTGAGTAATTCTAAGCCAGTCAGCAAATAGAGAGACTATGCAGTATAGAAAGAGCAAAGCAAGGCTTTAATATAGTCTTCACTGTATATTCTCCCAACAACATCAAATACTGGACCTCATTGTCGCCAAAATAACAACACCTTTCTGTTTGCAAAGGGTGTCAAATGCAATACTGCTGATGGATTTGCTGCTACTGACTCCTATCAGAGAGACAACATGCATAATGTGTACTTTGACATTTATTTGCGTATGTGTGTGGAGAGACAAGTGTTATCATTTACCTTTCCCTCGTCGATGGGGTTGTCACTTATATGCACAACTGGTCCAGGGTGAGCCTTGGAGGACCTTATGAGGGACACACAAAGGGAGACGCAGATGATGTTTTTTCTCTTCATGCTGTGATGCAGCGGTCGGGCATTAAAAACAAGGCCATGGACGTTGTTCTCTCATACATACACATAACATAGTGCTGCAGGGATTTGGGGTTTGAGGTGGAAAGCAAGTGTCTCTGAACCCCTGTAAGGGGTCCACCAGGAAGGATACATCTACCAATCGCTGCAAGCCACTTAAGGCCTGTTCAAAGACTTAAGCCCAGTTAAGGTTGTGATGGATGGCACTGGCAGGCCAGGCGGTACCCAGAGGACGTGAATGTGCATGCGTCCGTACCTCTGTCTGTGTGTGTGTTTTCAAATCATCCGTAAGTCTCTCAGTGAAGGACAACCACACGATGGTGATAATATTAAGTGGAGAACTGCATTGCACTGCATTGCAATGCTCCATCTTCACCCCCCATCTCCGTCCCTCAGTAGCAAAAAGAGGGGTTTGCTTTGTTGAATATGTTAATCTAGTCTGCCTGACTCATTGATCCTTTATCTGACTGAGGTTTGTGCCAATTAGAATCTGAGGCCCCGACAATGGCTTTGAAATGTGAGAAGAAGAACGGCGCTGAGTATCGCTGTCCATGGTGCTGAAGTAACAGAAGGATTTGTAATTGAAACTTTGAGTCCCGCTCTTCTTTGAGTTCTTGGATCTGTGGATCTATAATACACGTTTACACTTACAGCAATAAAATACGGATTGTTTCCTATCGATGTTGAGATCAAGGACATTCATTCCTTGATTATCAATCTTGGTCAACATTAAAAAACAAAGACAACATTGCTACATTCCTGGTGGTGTAAAAATGATTTGCGTCAACACAAGACTCGCCGTGTAAAAAGGTAAGAAATCACCTAAAAGTACAAGCAAAGGACCAGAGAAGACTAGTCATGTTTGCGTGTGTTTGTATGTGTTTGCTTGTGCGTGCATGTGCGTGCATGTGTGTTAAAAGGTAGCAGTTAGTGGGCAGGCAGGCAGTCAGTCAGTTGTCTCTATATTTAGCCTGTTTGTGCCAGAGCCTTATTACCTAAGCTCTGCTGCAGCTGGAGCTGTTGATTCATCTAATCCCCCGTCACTGGCTGTCTCTCAGCTAACAGGCGTCCATAGCAGAACGCCCATTCACACGCACACACACACACACACACATCCATTTGCATGTCGGCACAGTTGAGAGACATCTTAACATCCAGCCGATTTGTAAAACCCACATCCATAACAAACAATTACCCTCTTGCTGATTACGAAATGCAACTTGCGTAAAAAGGCGGGCCGTCCCACGCGGTTCATTTCCTTTTGTTTCGGGATTTCGTGCGCAATATTCCCCCCGTCCCCCCCCCCCCCCCTGTGGGACTCTCCACAAACAAACACGGTTTGTTAAAACCTGATGTTATACTAACAGTAAATAAATCTGACACGGACAAAATACATGTTCAGGTTTGGTGAGGAAGGAGTCGCCATGGCAACAGAGGCAGAATGGGCAGAGCACAGACAGGCTCCCAAAACGCATGCATACTCTGCCATAAACACACAAACCCCCCCACACACACACACACACACACACACACACACACGCACACAGACACAAACAACGCCCGCCTGACTGCTCCAACGCGGCCCTGTAAGCACGCATTTCTGACTGCGCACTGCTAATGACTGAGGTCCTGAGGGGTAAAAACAATTTGGTGTATGAAAGAAGATGATGGATTGATTGATTTAGCATGTTCAAAGGGACATGTGGTCTATAAAGCATCTTCTCATTATGTCTATGCGTACTTGTTTTTTCACGAGCACGCCATTGTTTTTATGGCGTCATTCATTCAGTTAACATTGTTCTCTCACAAATAGTGATTCAAGGTCTTTCATGTGACACACAAATATAACACTCAATATATCTGCACCTTGGCACCTTCAGGTAAAAAAAAAGGAACTTGCTATGAACCTTTATTGCACCAAAGCCTTATTTGTGTCTCAAACATTCATCTCAAACACAGTGATCTGTGGATAAACTAATATGTACTATACATACTAAGAATGATGGGTCAACTGCATACCCACTGTTACAGTGTCAGACACTGTGAGGACCTGAACGCTTGGCGTCACCACACTGCGAGGCCAAAGAGGCCACAACCGTTTCCGTGAACCGCCTCATGTCACCTGGCAAGACTGGGATTTCATGTGTGCGCGCGTGTGTGTGTACGTTAATGCGTAGTACAAGTTTTTCAGTACATGAAAGAACCAAAGCGGTAGCATTTTGCATTAGATCCCCTCCTGCTGTCGACTGATAAGGCCATTGACAGCACAGCCGTGACACACAGGATTCTGCTGCCTTTTTAAAAGCTTACTGAAAGACAGCAAGAGCAACAGAGACAACCAGTGATGTGTCGCAGTTAAAGGAGTTATATCCTTTGGGAAAGTATGCTTGTTCCCTTATCTGTCGGGTTAAGTAGGGGATAATGCCCATAGAGGTGTCCATAATCGGGCATTAATGGATCTGGCCTCCCCTCTGTCCACTAAATCCTGATAATGGAGAGCTCGCAGGGCATTATCCTGCTTATACCATGTATACTTGCCGAAAGATAAATAAAAAAATCAAGGCTATTCATTAATACTTTCATGCAAAATCTAAATCGAATGCAAATCTTTTACCATCCCACAAGGTTTGCGTGCGAGGAGAAGAGTTACTCCTGCAGTGAATGAGACCTTAGATGTGACTTGACCACAGGAAATAGTTCTTGTCTAGAATCGATGCGGCCATGTCGTTGTGCTTGTATTATACAGAGCACAGGTAAGTTCGGAGGGGCCACTGGCAGCATTATGTTTCGGTCACCCTCATGTTTGCGGCAATATTCGGATTTACATTTCTTACCTTTAATGGAGGCGATGCATTGATTTAGAACGGTTAACAGACTGTCCCTGAGAAGGAACTAATGAACACACCGAAAAGCGCTTTGTCTTTTCTGCTGACTAAACAAAAAAAGGTAAGGAATAATTTAATTCATTAGTGAGAGTTAAGGCCTGTACACACTATACATCTTGCACATTACACGATCGATTCGGCTGCAGAGGGTGACAAATATAATCAGACTACGAATCCTCCGACAAGTTTATCCGTCCAAACGAGGTTGAGTCAACAAACAGTGGGAGACACAGGGGACGTGGATTGTCTATTGCGAGTCGGAGGTAAATAAAGACACCAAAATTTCCGTCGCCGCACATCTTGCGTTTTCATTGGCTCACAGGAAAGGATTTAGGTTCTCAGAAAGGTTCAATCAGGGGTAAAATGGTTTATAGTATAAACTCATCTAAAGCAGATCCTGACTGAACCTTCATATCCAACGGACAGATATTAGATCTATTTGTCTCATTCGTTGCAAAAAGGAGCCAATAAGCGGATGTGTCAAAATATAGAATTAGAATTCAAATGTAGTAATACAATTATTAAAGTATATTTTGAGCTATTTTCTATAACAAAGTCAGATTGTATCTGATTATATTATATCTGATACACTATCTGGTACAGGTCTCTCCTGATTCTTCAGCTGGCATCGGCTTGTTTTTGTATTGAACAAAACAGGGAAGATGATATATTTAAATCCAAGACGGCACCTTAAAATTATAAAATGATCATTTTCAAAATTGCCAACTGCTCAATATAATAATCTTTATACTTAAGTGAATAAAATTAGGTGAATCCTCAAGACAATTTGTAATTCCCACCCTGGCAAGTGAATATGGTGTTCCTGTATCCTGGGCTCCTGGTGCCACTTTGCCTTCATGCTCGCCTAGTAGGAAAACTCCTGTGCCAGATGAGCACCACCCATATGCATACAAATGCAGTAAGAATACGTAGAAGGGAGGAATTACTGAGTGGGGGGGGAATAAAAGAGGACAGAATAGGCCTCAGGCCGACATGTTCACGTGAATTATGTGTCATAGTATGCTGTTAACATTTTACCACTCCTGTCCCACTTCTCTCTGCCCCGCTGTGCCCAGTGCTCATCTAGCTGAATCAAATCACACACACACACACACACACGCTGCCAGGTACACACATATAAATATTCTTACGTATACAGTGTACACATAAAACCATGCGTCACGTGAACAAACACACATGTGGCCTTATGGCCACGTCCTTAATGCCCAAAGCACTGACTGAACTAAAGCTTCACGCAGTTGTTTATGCACGCAGTATATGTGAGTCACACAAACTGGGTTAGGCCGAGCCAGGCCGGGCTAGGAGGCAATTGGCGCAGCTACTGCCGCCTGTATCCGAATAGCAGGGCCCGAGGGACGATGACCCCGGTACACGCGTCACGTTACCACACTCATTACAGCAATTCCAACGGATGCAAAGGTGTAGTAGGCAGGGATGAAAATACAATCCTCAAAATTCCATTCGATAGCACGCCGTGTATTGGAGCCAGTTCATGGCAGTAATACAAATGTGGGGGGTGTAGTCGGGCGAACGGAGGTGAAACGCTGGCGTCAGAGGAGAACAATGGGACTTTCTACCTGAACGACCGCAACCTTTCCAACCCCCACAGCTGGCGAGCAACAAAAGGAGAGAGGACAAGAGAAGCACAGCACGCCTCTCTGATCCGGCTCAAACAAACCTCATGCATATGGACACATGTGCAAACCTCTGAAACCAATCAATGAATCAATTGATGGCCCTGCCGACATCTCCAAGAGTTGAGGCCCGAAGCAAAAGACATAGAAAGCTGCTTTTCTCTGAACGCCGTGTGTGTTGCAGTTGAACAAAGCTGCTGCATGATTCTTTTCCGGGTCAGTTAAAGACATGGAGGGAGGTTAGAGATGTGTAAGTACATTTCGTGTCGTCGCTGCATGTATAAGTGTGATATACATTAAAACATTACATTCCCAAGTTGGAGACAGTCTAGGAAAGAAATGTTATTGCAATGTCCTTTAGTCAAGAACTACTCCTGTGTCCACATCTCTATCTTATTATAAGCATCTACCCTTTTTCTCATTTTTATCCCTCCTTGCCTTCCTCCTCTGCCCTTTTTTTTCTTTAATTGAAAACCTTTCCAGCTCTTTAACCTCACTTATCTGCACAACTCCTCTGCTCTGCCCTCTGCTACCTGCATTTATACCTCTGTCACCACTTCAGCCGTCTCCTCCATCACATTCCTCCTACGCATGTCCTTTACCTCAGGCAAAAGCCGCGTCTCATCCACTCCAGTCTCCCCTCAGTCATGCACTCCACCTCCCCCCCCCACCCCCCCTCCACCCCCTCCCTCTCCGCCGCCCTCCCCCGCCGCTCACTCTCGCCTTTTCCTCCCTGCAGCCCTGTCGACAAGACGAGACGTCTGTGTGTACCATACACTGATCTCGGCAGACACCTGTTCCGCCCCCTCCCTCCTTCCTCCATCTTTTCCCTCTCTGCACACACACACACACACACACACACACACATGCAAACACACATGCACAGAAGGGGTTTGAGGGGGGGAGCGTGAAGCAAAACGCTCCAGTGAATAATTTAAGTCTCTACAGCAGGGAACCAAAATGGAGCCTGTCAAAGTGACAGATCCATCGAAGCAGCGAGGAGACAGGTCGCTCACTACCGGGAGCCCGACACTGGAGTCGGAAGTGATAGACTGACTAATGATTCTTTCTTATCTCATTATATTTAAGCCAAAGTAACCTTATGAAAGGTAAAATGCTGACTGCTGTGCATCGCCTGCCTCAAATAAGTGCTGCAAGGTGAGTCAATAGAACCTTGGATCAATGTTGCAGTGCAGCTTATATGAGTTTGATTCCTGCAGAGTTCAAATATTGATCCGCGTATCGGTGATTCACTGTGGATGAGAACCCCCCCCCCCCCTCCCTCACCCCTTCCCTCTCCCTCCTGCATGCCACAGAAAGGCGAAGTTGTGCGGCGAGAAGAGGAGGAAGCAGAGAGCCAATGTGAGGAACGTTGAGGGCATTAAGCGTGGGAGGCACGACACGTGGGCAGTCTCACTCACAGTTCAATGGCTTTGTTCCACATGATGACGTAGCCTGAGAGCATGAAGGACTCCACGTTGACGACGTGGATGTTCCCCCGTTCTGTGCCGATGTACAACCATTTGCTCTGGAAGGGCAGGTGGCAGAAAGTTATTCTGTGGAGAGAAGGAGACGAGGATTAAAAGGGTGTAGCGGAGAACGACAGAGGAGGGGGACGAGAGGGCGGCGGGACAGGCGTAGGACGGGGTAGAAGAACGCACACAGCCATATTGTGCAAAAGGATGGATCATTTACCGCCGCATCTGCGTGAAGCGGCCGGGAGGAGGGCGGCAAACCAAAGAGAATGTTTAGTTATTCAATCAGCCACCTTCTATTGAGACCTACAGGCCCCACGGGGGGGCAAAGACACACCCACTGCTTAATTCTCATGGGTTTGTCATCTCCTCTTTTCATCCATCCATCTGACTTAAGTTTAATGAGAGGTTAGGAACCCTTTCACCAACTATCCATTCATCTTCTCATCCCTCTTCCATCGTTTCGCTCTTTCATCCATCCTTCAATTCAACCCCCCCCCCCGAATCCGCCCGAGGAATACTAATGCACGACCCCGGTAATCCGCCTTTACTAATATTTTCAAGGTTGCCACGCTCCTTTCAGTCATTCTTTTTATTCCGCGCGGTGCTTTGAGCAACACCTGTGAACCTGCATCCACACACAACGGCCCCCCCGGCTCAGCAGCTGGGACACGCCACCCAAGTGGGGGCGGGGGGGTGAAGTTGTATCAATCTCTTTTGACAGCACTTTCTTCTTTATCCATTACTTTCAAGAGAAAGGAGACGCTGGGGTATTTCTTCTTCGTTCGTGACAGATGGCCTCGTATTAAGCGATCGAATAACAGCACACAACCAGCTTAATGTCCGAATCTAATATCGGCTGTCAAGAAAAAGCTTTCCCCAAGCTGAAATGACTCTTTCCAAACTACATAACATTACAACCAGGTCTCGGAACAGGAACAGGAACAATGTATGGTCAAATAAATATTCATTCAACATCATAAGTGTCCACATATTGAGGACACATTTGAATCGAATGAATATGGAAAACAGATATTTTATTAGTTCTCGATGCAATATCTACTCCTAACAACTACGGTAAATAAGGAAAGATTCCAGTGAATTAACTACACTTTAATAGCCTTAAAATGTGGGATGTAGGACTCAAACTCTGGTACCTGAGTCACGTGATTTTTCCAATATACGTTTCCTCCTGATCATATTTGGTGACGGACGCTTGCACTACACGGTGTGGATTTATGTTGTTAATGAAACAGAAACCTCGCGTTACACTGTACAATAACACATACACTCAATAGCACAGCAACACATGGATTTGTGCAAACGTGTCCTTGCACTGACTTTGAGGGCAGGCGTGATTTAATGCGCAGAAAGCCTCCTTCTTCCTCCCTCTCTCTCCCTCCCTCCCTCCCTCCCTCTCTCTGCTATGCTCTCTCTGAGTCTTTCCCATTGTTGCTTCAGGGCTTTGTGGAGAGTAGCAGTTCCTACTAAAATACACACAAAAACATGTGTGCACACACACACACAGCCTCCCCTTCTGCCCCAATGCTCTGCTCCTAAACATGAATATATTCATTTTTAGGGAGGAATTGGGATACTTCACATAAATCTCATTCAAAATGTGCCCAGAGACTCACGAAACATTGAGAATCGCTCAAACACACTAACCTAGATTTACATACGGCATTTACAAACAGTAGCATAGTCCGGCTTAATCAGATATCAAAGTAATATCGTAAGAAATGCACATCATTTAAGAGCAACATCTGTACGGTGCAATCCATTCTGCGACAAATAATTCATTTATACCCTACGGAACATATTTGAGGAAACATAATTCGTACTTATTCAAATGAGTTGCTCATGAATATGATGTTTAGGGTTGCAGGAGATGAAATATAACTGCACCACCAACGGTTAATCTCATGAGCTACAAATCACACAGCTCCCCTAGAATGAATGTCCGTCTCCGGCTGCACAAACAGACGTGCCTCATCTACGCATGTGAGGGCTGGAGCGAGCGCATGTGTGTTCCAGGGCTACAAACACGGTGCTTTTCAGACTCTGGTATGAACTCATCTAATTACATATGAATAGAATGACCAGCAGACGACTCCTACGGCTGCAAAAACAAGTCCAATTTCATGGAAGTAAAGTGACTATGATGAACACGACTTCACGGTCCCCTTCAGCACAGCGTGATGTTCATTTTTTAAGTTATGGTCCATTTAGAGTAAAACGGACATAAAGCGGCGCGTGTTTTACTGTGACAGGTTGCTACTGCCACCAGAGCCGTATATATATACTGCATCATTGTGTTCAATCATAGCGGGAAACAAAAATACAACACATGGCGACTTAATCCAAGATTGCAACGGCAAAATCGCCAAACAACAAAAACGTCAGTGTGTGTGTGTGTGTGTGCACATACGAGCCAGGTGATTACGCCGTCTGAGTGGCAGGAAGCATAATTCTACAAATTTCAGCGTGTGTATTTCCATTTCTTTGCGTGCCACCAATTGCTGTTGCGCACGTGTGTGTCATTGCGTTGACACTTGTTGTGCGCGCGCACGACTTTTCCCGCCTCAAGTTGTCCACGACACACAAAGGCAGCTGCCATCCGAGCGGCACGTTGCCTCAGAGATGACAGACGCCTGTCACATTCAGGTCCGAGGTTAACTGCACTGTGGGCGGGAGACGCACGACAGCACAGTTTACTGCAAACGAGAGGTAGAAAGTCATCATTAGTACTATTTGAAAACCACATAGTGTGTCGTGTGATGCTCCTATCGAATCGGTCCGTCCACTCAAATATATTTGACGACCTTGATTTAGTTACGTGCTTTTTTTGGAACCATTTTTTGGTAAACTGCTCCTACTGACACTATAGTACACACAAACTAGACAATAATGTGCACACTCACAATAATAAGTATGCCATTACTGCAGCAAAGAGCTTTAATAGCATGCAAAATGTAATGTATTCTAAAATATGTATTAAAAAAGCATGCACAGTAATGGCAGGGGAAGAGGCTAAAAGAGAAAGAATGAGGGCCTTGTTTCAAAATAAAATAATCATATACTGTACTGTAATTAAATCTGCTAATGTTCTGTTATTTCATCTGGACAATGTTCTTCACCCCTTTGGGCTTGGAATTGGCGATTCAATTCAATTAAAAATCATCTATTGTGATAACACGAGACATAGACACCCACACACTAACACACACACACTTCCTCTTTCTGCTTTAAAGAGCACCTGCAAAACTCTATCTGGGCCAGAGCCGCATAATTGAAGCAATGTTGAATTCACTTTGACAGTTTTTTAATATGGAAGTTACGGAAAGAAAGATTCTTCCCAGAAGCGAACTGACTCAGTCAAATAATGTCCAAGAAACTAATCTGCTGAATTATTAAAACATTCATTGAATTGATGCATTAGCTTTGTCGATGCACTAAGTCAATATTTTAAGGTTCCTAAGATTCAGGCTGTAGAAAACTCCAATAGGAAGTGACTCAGCTTTCCGAAGCCAAGATTCAAATAGGTGGACTCAAATAGATCATGAATGCGACTAGTTAAAGACCTAATAGCCACTAACACTAGAGGATGGACAACGTAGGCAATGATGCTGTTCATGTACCGATGCACGGGGACCCCCGGGTGCCCCCCCCCTCATCAAGTCACCCTGCATGGACGACGGCTTCCACATCTGCAGTGCATTGGCGTGAGGCCGGCGGGTGACGGGAGCGTCCTACGCCAGGATGACTCGGCAGGATTTCTCCTGCGCTCCCTCCATCCCGGCACTCCTTCCCACAGACTGAATCACTCTCTGCTCTCTGCTGGCTGAGGCCCAGTCTGCCCCAGCTACTCCCCCTCTCCTCCCTTCTCTCCTCTCTCCTTGTGCTCGTAATCCCATGTGAATGGATGCCGACGCTGGAGGGCTTTCTGCAAAACCGCTTTCAACCATCCACTCGAATACTGATCAGGGGAAGAAGGAAGGTAGGAACGAGGATGGAAGGTGATGGAGAAGGACGGGTTTCCGAGTATTAGAGGAGGAAACCCTCAAACGTCAAAAATAATTTGGGTTATATAGCAAATAAATGTTAAAAAGAAGCAGGCCAGTGCAATGACAGGGCTTATGAGCAATGGTGAGTCGATTGGAAATACAGAATATATGAATTTTCTTGCTAGGATTATGAAAATCGATACAGCACATAACTCATTACAGAAATATCCCGTGTCAACACATTGAAATCCTTTGTGCATGTCATAGCCTTGGCTCGCCATCTCATCTTTGCAAAATGATCCCAAATAATTTTGTAACTAGAATAATGTGGAGAAGTTGTTAAAGAGGAAATGACGGCCGTGTCCAAGTCAAACAAAGGAGCCAAAACGAAAGAAGCAAAGGTGAAACGTGGGAGAGAAGGTCGAGTGTCCGAGTCCGTCCTGCGTCTCCGTCCTATAAACCACTTACGAGGCCAATCTTCCCTCCTGATGACGCTTCAAACTGTGCTCTTCTAAAAAAAAAACATTGTTGTGATCATGTTGTAAACTGATGCTGTTTCTTTTGACAACTGCACTACAAAGCAACCAAAATGTGCACAACTTTTCTTTTTTTTTCTTAAATACACAAAGCAGACGGAGCCATTAGAGTCCGAGGAGATCTTAAAAGCTTCTGCGAGTGCGGAACACTTGGCTGGACTGTTTGATAGAAAATTTGATATACGATGGAGTCAAAACCCTGATGGTGCTATTAACTTTGGAAAGCCGCTCCTCGGGGGAAGCGATAATAATGATAATAACGAAGGACTGCGGGGGTTGTGTGTCAGTTCACAGAGACGGAAAACGTGTGCACACACAATATACGGGTGCGACGCACTTACCGTTCACTTAACATGTGCGGCTTTAAAACCACGACACTAGGAGCCAATCAGGAGACGAATCATGGATCTTCTATTCACGCCGGCTGTGTTTTTCTTGTGCGTTTTCCTCCATGGATCTTTATCCATACCTGGTTAGCCCCGAGCGGCCAAGCCAGCCACCGCGCGGTGCCAAACTACACAGGAATACCCGTGGCAGCCCGCCAGGATGTCGCGGGGCTAAAAGGCGCGCAGCAATCATAATTGCGTTTGTGAGCCCACAAGGCGGCCGTGTTTTGGAGCCGGTCTTCATGTCAGGATTAGCTATGTTTCTATTTTCATTTTGCAAACAGTTCCAGGCAGCATCCATGTTCTGGATCAGTGTCAATATGGTGTGTGTGTGTGTGTAATAGGTGTCAACTGATGTGCGTCAGATGATGCAATTACTCGCAACGCAGCTTGCATGTGTTGAGCTTAAGTAGACAAATTTGGTTTCCAGTTCACCTGAGCATCACGTCTGTGGCGTCTAAGAGAAAACCACGAAAGGAGAGACGCAAACCCGCTGTTTCTGTTGAGTTGAGGTGTTTCCAAAACAGTCAGAGAGAGACCGGTGGTCCGTCACGTCCTCGGGGGGACTTGTCTTCAGAGAGACGGAGAGAGAGACACCATGTCACCATCCTTTTGGCCCCCCCGGGTTTAGTTTAGCCAGCGCAAAGACACGTTCTCCCCCCCCAAAAAAAACACAACGCCGTCTGTTTGCATACAGCAAGACAAGTCGGCGAGAACTAACAGCTCTCGCCGACTTGGGGCAACAAACGGGCAACAAACTGTGAGATGGGTGGGGGATGAGGGGGGGGGGGGGGGCGGTGTGTGTTCTTTTTGTCTTACCTCTCCTTGCTGAACTTGAGGGAGTGGAGGACGGCCGGTCGCTTCTGCCTCAGGTTCCACAGGTGAACGCTGTCGTCGGCCAGAGCGCTCACCAGCGCGCCCTGTCGCGACAGAACGCTCCTTTCATTTGCATGTTCAAAACGGGTACAACGGCGGGAGTGCGTGCAGGTTTTTAACGACGGGTGGATGTTCATACGTGCGTGAGTCACGCTGCGTTCCCAGGAAACCGACTTTAAGTCAGGCATCTTTCTCCCAAGTAACAACAATGATTCACGCGAGTTATTTAAATGTATGCATGTGCGTGTAGGAGGCAGTGAAAAGCATCTCCGTCTCTCTCAGGGTGTGACACACACACACACACACACACACACACACGACTAAGCATGAAATACTTTCATTTCTTAATGACATGAAGCAAATCAAACTTGAATATGAAAACTGTAGGTGTTCTGATTCTAAGAGAAAATGTATGAATCTCTGGTGAGAGTCAACTGACGATTTCAATGAAGTTGTCCATCACACCAAAAAGTGCATCGGATCAACCGACACATCCTGCACAATGAGCAGGAATATCAGATTAGTTTATTTGACTCTTGAGAGTCTGGCGAGACCATTTGGTGCCCTTCTTTTTTCCACCGATTTACTGCTTAAAGGGACAGAGATGCTTTTCTCTTTCTGAACATTGCAAAGGGGTGAAATGCGATGACGGCCCTTAGTGAAGTGTCTTCGGCTTTGTGCGACGGCGCCGGTGGGCACAGATGTGACCTACCTCATTGATGAGGAACTGTAGCTGGATGACGGCGGCTCCGCTCTCGTGCTGACAGTAACACTCCACGCCCGGACGGCCAAACCTGAAAGGTTCTCTGTCAAGGAATGTACGTCGTCGTATGAAACACTGAGGCGCTTCCCTTCGTTTCTCTGAAGGTCACTTCCTCCTCAATACACCTGATTCAAAGATCTGTTCACTGCTTACCTGCTGGGGCGGGAAATTCACAGTGAATTTGTTTGGTATGAGGTCAACAGATTCAGAAATGTTGTATTTTATGAGAATAAATTCTTATATTCAAGGTCATTAAAAGCCGCCTTATTCAGGTGGATGAGTTGTACGTTGAAGAGAAGAGAAAACAGATAACAAAACAGGAGAACGTTGGCGGCGCCGCAGCGAGGGAAGATAACTGCACCAGAATTGGGAAGAATTCAGATATTCAAATACATATAAATGAATCAGCCGAGAAGCGGTGGATTATTATGTGAGCAGATGAGAAAATAATAACAGGGAGAGAGAAAGAGAGAGAAGAGGGAATACAGTTATACAGAGATCTGCAACTCGGATAAAAGGAAGCCGAGGAGGGTGAAAACATGCACAGACGGGTGGGAGGAAGTAGAAGAAGAGAGATGAGGGAAAGTAGAAAAGACCGACAGAGAATAACTGGCGTCTCCTCCGAACGGCTGAATTCACTGATTATACCCATTCATTCTTCCCACAACTCTCAGAACTGAGGTTGGGGGAGACAATTCTTCATAAAGGGGGCACACATGGGCGTAGCACCCCAGGGACGATGCTATTGCTCATCATTAGTGTGTGTGTGTGTGTGTGTGTGTAAAGCTGGAAGGTATCAATCAGTCAATCCCGATTAGATGTAAATGTTACAAGAGTGTCTTTAACGTATTTGCGTACACAGGAAACATCGAGGACGACAAAGAAAGACGGAGGGAAAGAGAGATTTCTTTGTTTTACTATCAATCGTTAAAAAACGGCATCACATGATGGTGAACAGCAGCAACAACAGCAACACGACACAAGCAGGGCCCTCAAAATGCAAACGACAACGATCACGTCCTGGTTTCGCACGGTGCAAACTGCGCCTTGGGCTCCCAGAAGGCTCCGGTGTAATTTATTAGGCTGTAATGCATGTGATCACTCCTGAGGTGTGTTGTGACCGTGAATAAAGCCACCTCATCGACACAGTCAGCGCCACACACACATTTTTTTTTCTCTCCTTTGGACTGAATACACAGCTGGGTTTTGTGAGCTAACAAGTGGAGTAAAAACATATTTTCATCTACACATTTTGCATCATTTGGTCTGATATATTAATCCCCATTCATATGCTATTTCATTTATAGCTATATTTGAACACAAGGCATCGGCGAGGCTGCGTGGAAAACTGCCCCTTTGCCCCTCAGGTGGATCAAGCTTTGTCCGTCCTTCTGGACGGGCAATTAAAAAAACTTCAGGCAGTGAGTCGCTGTCCAGGAAGAAAATACCAACTTCTTTGGATTTCAGCCGGTAAGACCCCCCCCCTCCCCCTCCCCCCCGGGAGGCATTGAGCAGAGCAAATCGATTTCCCCTACATGACGCCTGACATAAAAGTTATGTTCACAAACCCTCACAAACTTTGATTCTGTCTCATTCCACTTTAAACCCCCGAAAACGCTTCTGAGGAGGAACCTTTGACTGAACAAAGACCTCATGGGATCCAGCGGAGGATTTACTTTATTTGTACGAATCAAAACATGAAGTTTGGATTTAGCAAACATGCAGTGCACTACATGTCCACTGGCCCTTCAGACTTTAAAATGGTCTTAAAAATGTCCACACGCTTTTATAAGAATCCACACATTTCCGCATGGACAGAAAACCGTGCAATTTGAAAACAGCTCCACCAACTGTCAGTCAAGTGATTCCTGGGAAGAAGACGGCAGATGGTGCCTGGAGGCCTCGGGCAAGACGAAATGTGTTGAGTGACACAAGGTCACTCCTGCACTGAACGCTCACCAAGTTTACCGAAAGAAGCTAGAAAAGCGAAAAGTTCTTCTTGTCTAAAATGATCATCAGCGTGCACAGAATCACTTTCGCACCCAGTAGAGGAGGACAGGGGACCTCGATCCTCTCTCCACTTAACCCGCAGCATGTGGACGCCGCGCCCAAGGATATCGCCGCCGGCCGCGCTGTCGCAGGCTGACGGCCGCGTCGGGCGAAATGTGCAAGTAACGGAGGGCGAGTTAACTTGGCCAGCTCGTTTAATGAGCTCAGTGATGTACGGGCGTAGCTAAAAGCTATAATTATGTTGCTTCAAATCGTTTCCCAGCTCAGAGGGGGGAAAAGTGATGAGAGCGAAAGCGACGCTTGTGTCATTGCCGTTTGCCAAAGCATAAGAGGTAATATACCACCTTGAAGTGTCAATTGAATTACTGTTTGTATGTGCAAGTGATTGCTGGAGCTGGATATTCATCTTAATGAACTGTAGATAAAGCTCTGTGCAATAAGTTAATAAATGCGCCATAAATTGAAGAAAGACTGAAATAAACATGAATGCAGGGATTAGTTACTTTTAGGTCACCGTGTGGTTTTATTTCAATAGGAACTAAATGCTCAACAGAACGGAATTTGCTTGAGTGTTTACAGTCACACGTCTTGTGCACATTTGCATTGAGAGCATAACGTAACCTGGGTACTCAGAGAGAGAAAAAGGTGTTGATACTGCAAATTGTTTTTTTAAAGCTCGGCTGAGGAAGAGAAGTTTGTTTATTGATGAAAAGAAAATGTGAGAATCGCAATTGAAACAGACGGACGGATGAATACTTTTTCATTTGTACCCATACGTAGACTTGATTTGCAAGAAAAAATTGGTTAAGATTAGAAATAGTTTAATGATAAACTAAAAAACAATGTATTGATTGTTTGATTATATTTACCACCTGATGGCTTGAAAAATAAGGAACCATGTATAATATAGCGTGACCATAAAAGAACCTCTGTCTGTTTCATGTGTTTGAATGTCTCTCAATGTGTGACGGTAATTCAATCTTTACCGAGTGAATTAAAGCGTTTACATTTTTTTTTGCAAACCCACAACATTGCGTCGCTATTTACCACCGTTTTTTCAAAATGCCTTTTCCCGTTTAAAAATCATGTTTCTTCTGGCAGTTTGTTTTTCCCTCAATTTCACACCAGCGTGGGAAATGTCATCATTTAGATTTCTGTGGGTTGCTTTCACATCACTGGCTTTTGACACACTATAATAACATTTACCAAATCTTTCAGAGGATTAAAGAAGGAAGAATAATGAAAATGATCATACATTTTAAGGATTCTTGATGCAAATGGAGGGTGCATTATTCCGTATGGATTTAATTAAATGCAAAATATTCCCTCGGGGGAAACATGCTGATACATCTGGAAAGAAATCTAATGCACAAAGGAAGTAATTTCGTTATAGAGAAAACATTGTTTGTTTGAGATTAAAAAATGTCACATGTCATACGTTTTTTGTGTGCTTGTCATACTTTGATTCACAAGCACTGAACAAAAACATCCCCTCCAAGTCCTCTGAGCCCCGCGAATGCCAGCAAAATAAAATAAACCTTTCTGACCTTTCCCCAATCTTAATATGACACGCATCACTTTACAGGAAAGGTTCCTCGACATCTCAGTCACATTTCGACCCAAAGTCTGCCTCAAGGGCCTGGACTGCGTCCCCGCCGGGGACAGGCGCCGTAGGAGATGGCTCACAATTGCTGACAAGAACATTCCTCGTTCCGTTTTTTGACAAAGTGAGGCCTCGCTGCACCGACGGACCGACCAGGACGGAGCAAAAGGGGGGAGACGGAGAGAGCGAAAACAGAAAGTGGGTCAGCTTCGCGTCTCTTCCGGGCCCCCGTGAAATTTTGCTATTCTGGAAGTCCGAGTTGACTGATGATTCCCTTTTATTTCGCTCCTCTATGTGTTTATTTTGGTTCGAAGCCACGGGCGAATAAAGGGGAGTCGTCGGCGTCTGGCAGAGCAAAGTTGTGACCATCGGGCCCGAGTGAAGTGAAAAAAAAGAAACGGACTGCAGGTTTTCAGACGCCACGTTATCCTGCAGGAGAGTGGATCCTGATAAGTGTAATTGAATAGGGATGAGCCCGTATTTCATGTGGGAGAAGAGTTGGCTGGCTGCTCGTCTACCTCAAACATTTCATGCCTCTGTGTCTGCGAGAGGAATAAATAGAAAAAATGACGTACGGGATGCAGCTTTCTATGAGAGTTCCAGAAGGATGGGACGAGGAGGGGGAGGGATGAAGATGAGAGGCGCGTTTTAACGCGAGCCCAGAAAGATGACAAACGACGGGCAGGACAAAGTTGTGGATGCGGGGAAGAGGAGGAGACGGTAAAAACAGAGGAGACATCGCAGAGGAGGAGTCGCAGGGCGAGGAAAAGGAGCGAGAGGGAGGGTGACTAATGAAGGGTGAAGAGAAGAAGGACGGAGGGAGAGGCGACTGAGCGAAAGCGCCACAAAGAGCGAGCCTGGGAGCACTGGGCTGCAATGACGTCGAGCCTGAAGTGACGTCAAAGCCGGCCGCTCCATACATCACCCTGCCAGTGAGGCAGCTCCGCCCGGAGACAGCGATGAGGCGATAAAAGCTGCCCGGCAGAAGACAGGGGGGGACGGAAGGGAGGCGATACCCACGTGGAAGTCAAAGGGGAGACGGAGAGAAAGAGAAAGAAATGTCGGGGGAGGTTGGAAGAAACACGCGGGAGAGAAGCGGGGGAACTGCCCGTCCACGCGTTGCTCAGCTTCCCTAAAAAACAAAATCATCCAAAATTCTGCAACAAGCCGCGAGCTCGAGATGCCTGATGGCCTCCGTGACACCCGTCCCCCCGCCCCCTTTCCTCTGGCTGCCCGCGGCTGCTTTAAGTGAAATTGAAAAAGCCGAGCCCGCGCTGTTGCCGCTGCTCTGCTGGTAGCAGCCGGCCCGGTTGATGCTCCACCCGGACGTTCCTTTTCAGGGTAGTAGCTTGTTGAAGCGCTTAATTATAGGCATAGTAATGTTACAAATGGCTTTTAATGAGTAAGTCAATATATTC